CCGGGCTGCTTCCCTCTAAATGGGGTGCCAGCCTGGCTCCATGATCTCCAGGAACAGACAGCCTGGTCCTAAAGCCTTGCAGCTCTGCCTTGGCTAGGAGAGGACTTGGATTGGAATGTCTCTGAGAAGGAAAGCCAAGGAGCCTCTAGAAGTCTGCCATTTATCCTTAGTAACAAAAGTAAGAGGCTCTAGGCCAGAGGATTAGCTGAGGGAAAGTACCATTAGGAAGCTGGCTGAAGGAAAACCACGGCACAGAACACACACTACCCAAGAGTCAGGAGAGGCCAGCAGGACACGAGACCCCTGTATTGTGATCTTAGCCCCAGTCCACGGTTCCAAATGACCATCCACTCCAACTCCTTAGACTGGGTTGGGAAGGTAAAGCCATCGCCTACACAAGGGTGACAGCATCTGGCCTGTAAGCCTGCTGACCCTTGAGGTTGCTGGGGGTAAATGACCTGCTGGGTCCATAAGAGTACGGCTGGAGCCCTCACCTTTACAGTCACTTAGCAACCCACACTTGTTTCACAAACATTTCCTGAGCACTTTATATTTGCCAAGGGCCCTAGACAAAAAGCCAGTGGAAACAGAACACAGAGAAGATGAAGTTCCTCAAATCACCGTCAGGGCCTTGGTCTCACCGGAGGCTCCAAACCTCCAAGCTCCCTGAACACCTGCTACTTAAAGGCCAAGCAGGGACTCTCTCAGGGAAGGGCATAGGCTCTTTTGTAATAGCTCTCTGACTCTTGCAGGCACACCCAGGATGCCCTGCTTCATTAACTCCAAGTCAAGTGACTAGTCACCTAGTTATGAGAGTGATACCCTCTCATATTCAATGTTGGGGACAAGAATGCATCACACCATAGAGCAAGATCTTGAGAACCTTTAGAACCCTGTTACCACAACTCCTGTCAACTCCTCTTTCTGATCGCTCCTACCACCAGGTAAAACTTCCCCAGCAATTAAATGCATTCTCCGAAAATGCATCTCACGCCATGTGCTCTCCCAGCTAGAGAATATGAAAGTCTGCTACTTCCCTAAACAATGAGTCAAACAGACACTCTTTGGGTAGGGGAATTCTATTCCCGGAGACCATAAAGCTATTTTTAAAGTCCTATTTATAGTCCTTGAAAGTCCTGTTTTGAGTCCAAGGACCCCTTGCCAGTGACTAAGGGTTGAGGATGGAGCACAGTTGCCAGTGTGGCTGCTCTGCAGACTGAGGAGACTGAGTCAGGCCACTCAGCACCGGCCCTGCCTATCCCCCCTCTCCTTCAAGGAAATGGCATGTAAGCAGAACTGTGCTGCACTGCGGCCAAGTTTTCATTAGTCTAGCTGTGAAAGAACACATTTGATGGCACAGAAAAGCTGCTTTGAGAGTTCTCAAACAGAATGTGCCAGTGGCTCCCAGAACGAGATTCAAGCGCTGTTTTTTCATTCAGACTGAACTCACGCCAAGCACTCTTGCCTGACTTCCAATGCCATTTACTCCTTAATAGAAATATGAGCAATATTATTTCAAAAAGTCTGAATACAGAAATAATTCATTTGCCCCCTGGAATTTTTTATTAAGAAATAGTGCCGTAGAAATCTTTCACTGATAAGAGAAGATTTTTGAACTATATTAAAGTTTCAAAATAGAATGTATACTATTTTATATTTATGCCCACATATGTCTATAAGTATTTTCATACATATCACACACATATTATTACAGGAAAAGACTTGGAAATGATAAAAAGTAGAATGTTAAAAAGAGCTAACACTAGGGAGGTTGTAATTTTCCTCTTCCTTAATTTCTTAGTTTTTCTTTAGGAGTATTAATTATTCTATCTATTCAGAATATTACCCTTTTGGGGACTAAACAAAAATGCCTGTGAGTAGAATATTTACCTGGCTGAACAAAAGGTGTGCATTAACAGGCCACACCAGAGTCCTCAGAGGCACAAAAACTCTCTTACCTGTCGGACTGTAAAGTCCAACCATAAGCTTGGGGGAGCCTTGGAACCATGTGCCCAGGCAGTGGGGAGGTTGAACTGAGGGAAAAAAAGCTTTTCCATATGGAGAACTATGCTTTATTTCTGGGTAGATTAGAAATGTATAAGCAGTATGGCCTGAAGTAGGGCTTACGTAACCATGAGGAAGATATTTGAGATACAGGGACAATCTAAAGGTTGTCTACCAGATAAGCAGCTGTGCAAGGGGGACCAGAGAGGGCCAGAAACAGATCACATGACCTTGTGAATTGTCCCTGGTAAGTTGGAAGGATACAGAGAAATTATCCTCTACAGAATGGAAACAAACTTCTAAATAGGGAAGAGTTGGGATAAAGATTGTAGATAGTGGACCAAAGGGCTCCCACCCATCTGTCACCTTTAAATTACATTTATCTCCCATTGACTGTTGTCAAAGACTAGAGTGAAAGTAAATGTCCTAGGGCAGTGATGGTGAATCTTTTGGAGCTTTCAAAGGTAACAGCCTACTACAGCCCATGTACCGAGGTTCAACACCACAGTCCTATGGAGAAAACATATCTGCTTTTGGCACAAACTTTAGCACCTGCTAGCAAGGGATGATGGTACAGATCTGCCCTGAGCCATAACTGTGCCCCTTTGATCCTTTTCCAAGGAGCACTTCCCCACTCTGCATAGGGAATCCCCATCTGAAAAAGAACATTATTTCCAGTACAGTGGAAAACACATGAAACACTTTTTAAAAAAAGACACATTTAAAATAATTATAAAGCACTTAAAATGTGGTAGATACTGTGTCAAGCTCCACAAGTGTAACACGACTCAGACAATCACCCAACCCCAATTTCCAAAAAAGCTTCAGTATGGTGTTTGATGCTGTGGGGAAGTACAGGGCCACGCGAAGGACTGACATCCTGAGGGAGCTAGAGGCGGCGTCTCTGGGCCACAGAGGCGTAGCCAAGACCTGCAGACATAAAGTACCCAAGTGAAGACAGGTGGGTTGCAGCTCTCAGGCTATCGGGGGACAGATCCTGGGGTTCACCTGCACCCTTCTGCTACATTTGGCTTACTGGTTGGGTATCTGAGCTATGGGATCTAAAGTGTGTCCAAATGGTCGGCAGGCATTTACACCTTTACTGTGCTGGTCATAAACTCTCAAGTGTCTCTGAGGTCTGACAGACAGATGCACTTAACATCTATCCTGGGGGTAGGCTGCGCTCTCTACCTGTAACCCTCCAAACAATCTTGAGCATTAAGTCCAATGTTTCAGAGAACAAAAGGTATGAGAGGGGCAGTCCTCCAGGGTGGGCCAGGCAGAGGGCAGTGCAGCAAACACAGCATCAACCAGCAGAGAAGGGGGAAGGTGCCACCACAGACCAGCGACACCTGGATTAGCAGACTCCAGGCTCATTTCTGCTGGGATTTGTGGTCTGCATTGCTAACTGTGCAATGGTGGCCAAGGGCAGTCCCTGTGATCTCAACACTGCTTCCTTGAGCTTCCTGACTGAAGTGAGAGTTGCATGGTCCAGCACCCATAGGAACAGAAAGGGTCAGTCCTGCCTTCCCAGACTTAGTCTGGAACAAGACACAAGTCTGTATCAGCCAGACTAGCTGGGGGCAAGAGGGGAAACAAGATTTCAACTTAAAAATTTGAGAAATTCTCACCTTTCAAGTACTTAAGAGGTGTAAGTCTGACTGAGAGGCTAATGCAACTACAGTGGCATTCATTTTAACATTATTTTCCAATTACAGCTTTTGTCATTAAACCCTGAGGCTGCATGTGATGTACAACTACTGTAACCTCAGCTCTTCAGAGGCTGAGGCAAGAGGATTCTGAGGCCAGCCTGGTCTACAAACATGGGTTCAAGGCCAGTCTGAACTAGTGACATCCTCAAAACAAAGACAAACTAAAAACCAGATAGCTTCAAATATTTTTGTTTCATAACCTGAGATTAATCACCCAGAAATAAAATTATCTCCAATTTAATACAAATTACTTCAACACATCTCTTGTTACCTCAACTTGGGTCTTAAAGACTGAATATTTTTAAAAACTAGGTCATTTCAAGGAAGGGGAGTGGACCAAATTTATAGGCCATTCAAAACAAAGTAACTGTAAAAAATTTGATTTGCAAGCTAACTTTTTACTGTTAAAAAAAATCACGTCTATATCTCTTCCCTTCTCATAATAATCACATCATTCTTCTCTTTTTGACCTTTACAAAGTTCCTGAGTTTGAAGGTGCTATACATTTTGGCTCAAGATGTCAACATCTGGGAAACAACTTATGTGCTGAGAATTCCCCAAAGGAAAGGCCATATGTGGGAGGCTTTCTAGCACTTAAACGTTAACATGTGTTTCACAATTTACAATGGGTCTGCAGTTTCTTCAGGTTAAATCCAGGGCCATTCTTGTTTTAGTTGTTACTCAGGACTTCATTTCTTCCTTTATCAACTTCTATTTAAGGTTATTTTATACTTCAAAATACTGAGATTTTGCTCTATCAATTACTCTGCTTTGAAATCCAATAAGCTGAACTTCTGATATATTCCCAGAATGCTTAATATGTTTAGTAAAAGACAAACTAAAAACCATACTTGAATGACTGGTATTATTTGCTAATGCTGGATTCCCAATACTTGTATTACTGTCATGCTAAAATTTCAAGTAAACAAACACTAATTTAGGGGCTGGGGATTTAGCTCAGCAGCATAAGCGCCTGCCTTGCAAGCAGGCAGTCGTGAGTTCGATCCCTGGTACCGATAAAAAGGAAAAAGACCAAAAAAAAAAAAAAAAAAAAAAAAACCAAACACCAATTTAATGACACAGACAGACAATTATACCAATGGCACAAAAATAACTACATATTAAAAACACAGCTATAGATTTATGTGATTGCTTCAGAGCCACTGTAATTCTTATAGTATAAAAGTAATAACAAAGCACTAAACACACACACACACACACACACACACACACACACACACACACACAATTTCCAAAACCAGCAGTGTCTGAATCTGTCAAGAGTACGATGTAAGAAAATATATTTATTTATTTTTCATGACAATACTAGGATAAAATTGTTAAATACATGCACATTTTAAAAACAAACATAAGTAACATCTTTGGAGTTATCAGCCAAGCATACTAATTTTACATTTATGGTGTCATAGTAATAGGTTACATATATTCTATGTTTTTGCTATAACCATGTTTTCCAAAAGATATGGAAACTAAATTTTGAAATTATAATATGACATAAAAAGTCCTAATGTCCCATTCTAACAATATCCAATTTTTCCCAAGGTAGGAAACACTTCATTTGTCATCCGCATTGTTTCATTCCACACTAAACCTGGAATTCTGAGAGTCAGTGAATCATGGAGATATACTTCTGCTATAGTTTGCTTCCTGGATACATATATTTAAATGTTTCCTTATGTGATTAAAAATGATTGTTAAGTACAAAATAATCACAACTCATCATTCCTGTTAAACAAAATGTTGTAGTGGTAACATTTTGAGAAATGAAAAGGGGAACAATTTGGGATCTCCCTATCTTCTTCAGTGACACTGATACACATCTGACCAAACAAAAGTTAGTAAACAGTCACTATATTTATAAAAAACTAAAACTATTTAACATAACACCATCTTTAAAAAACATTCTGTCTACAAACCTTATAAAAGACAAAAATTTATCTGTTCACAGTATGTGTATTTTGTAAACAGTAATTCACTATAATGCAATTTTAAAGTAAAAAATAATAATTTCCTAGTGTTACAAGGATGATGACTTATGACCAGGTAATTAAAGAAATGGTAAACTATTCTTACTAGTTATGCTGAATGTTTTTATGTGATTTTTAAAAAATTTTTGAACACATCTTTAATGTACTACTGTGTCAAATTTAGGGCATCTTTCTTTATATCCAGGATAATCCTCTACAAGCAAATATAAACTAAAATGAATTTAAGAAATGCCATGCTCTTTTAAAGAAAACAACAGGGCAAAACAAGTTCCAAGGCATCACATACACCTATCTCTCTTCAACAGCAAACTGAACAGGCTTCTTCTTGTGTGTTCTCAACTCTTTACGCTGCTAGTTACATTTTCCCAATGTATTATGTTGGAAGGGAAAATTAAATAGAAGGTTTCAGCAACTTATGTATATTAAAAAAACAGAGGAAAGTTCTGGATCAAACTAGGGAAGAACACTGGAAAATAATTCCAAGGAAATCATTATTCACTCTCCTTTCCTATGATCAACTGTAAAAATACTAATGTCACCCTAACAATTACCATGATTTAATGCAAGTTCATTACCACCCAGAAATTTTTTGATCTTTGATAACATACCACTGGAATGCTTAGAAAAAATAAGCTCAGAAACTGAAAGCTCCCATTTACAATGGAATAATTCTAAAGTGAAGCCCATTTTAAATTAATAAGGAAATTCAATCAATTTAAGTGATCTATTTAATCAGACATATAATGTATGTTAGGGTTAAGCACTGCATAAAATCTATATTGGTATTTTTTTTTAAAGTTCTGCCTGGCTACTACAGAAGCAAAATTAGAAAATTTAAACATAATAGACATCAATTTCCTTATCAGTTAGACATTTTTTTCCTCATTCACATCTTTTAGTTTTTAAGGTATTCAGAAGCCAAAAAGTAATATAAGTTATTTCTGCTTTGTATTTGTTTAACATTCAATCAGTTCAATCAGCTTTGGTTTACTTATACAAATGCTTTCTAATTTATTATTTCTATGATTCTCTAGCTAGGCACTTACACCTGAAAACATTCATTTTCCCTCCTTAAATACTACTTTAATTTTTATAAAAATGCATCCATTTTCCTTAGGTAAATTCTGCTTAGAATTTGGACACCTTATAATTCAAAATACTAACATTCATGATACAGGGAAAAACAAGCACTACTAACCATTAAATAGAATTCTATCATAATCCAATACCATAATTACAAGCATATAGATGTGTTCTATACCAAATCACATCTCCTGAAACTCCTAACACACACAACAAAACCTGACAGCGAACTAACTGAGTGTTGTTCTCAATCCTGTATCTACACTGGTATTAGAAATAGTATGTCTATATTCTAACATGAACATGATCATGTGAATAAGACAAAAGTAGTATTTGAAAAGGAGTAAAAATCTAACCACCTTAGTGAAATAAGAGGTTTAAATGTTACTAGTCCTAGAACATAAATCCATGGAGATATAAATAAAACCCAATTCAAACCAAGTGACTTCCAATGATACTCTAAGATTATGTTTAGAAAATGAGTTTTTTTTTTTTTAGTTTGGGTACAAGCATTTTCTGATCAGGAAAAAGTTTTTCTTCTGGAGTCAAGAAATGAGTATGACATCATAAAACACTGATTTAGCCAAAACAAGTTTCTAAGAAATGTTTTGAAGACACGATCTACCAAGAGAATAAATTCTTATATTATTCTGTTAACCTCACACATACAGACAGTATTATTTGCCAGAAAACATGTTGGGTTGGTACCAAATTGTGTAACAGTCAGGTGAAAACACACTATGTGCACATAGTTTAAAATTAGGAAGAAATAAGGTATCTAGTCACATGTATGCATCAGTTTTTTCCCCAAGTTTTGGGGAAAATGGAACCATTTCTTTGGGGCAACAGTTTCAGACCTACAAAAACTAGCCTGTGATCTATACTGTGCTTCTAAACCTGCTGCTAAATTCATAACTCTGTGATCGGACTCGGTCAATGAATTAGTCACTGAAATTTCACAGTGCACTTAGTCTTGGTAGCTAATGATTCTAACCACATTTTACACCCAAGATGTTCAACTTAATATTCAAATAAGCAAAAAGGCACTTTAGAAAAGGTATTCAAATTTTAACATCGCTCAAAACAGAAAGGCAGCAAAAATTACCTTAGTGCAAACAAAAGTTTTATGAGATTATGTGCCTGAGCAAAAAACTGAGATAACACTTTTTTCGAATATTGACATGTTGAAGAAGTACATTTAATTTCAAAATACCATTAAATTGATTTCAAAACCCTCTGGAAGAAAAATTGTCTAGTCTCTTCCACTACGCTACACTTAAATTATCCAAATACAGAAAGGGCTACAACATTCTTTAAATACAAGCAGCATGAAGACAACCAGACAACCAAAGAATCACAGGACTGATTTCCAACAAGAATACAATCTGCATCAAGTTTTGAGAACGTGACTGACTTTTTTACCTTAGTTTCTGTGTTTAAGAGTAAAATGCAGTCCCTCAGATCCGTGAGCTGTGAATGTAATGCTGGTGTGGAAATGACGGTGACACTTCCTCCCTTAAACTACTCAGGGAATGGCTGCTTCTGTTTTCAGCTGCAGGAACAAATCATCTCTATCACACAGTACACACACACACACACACACACACACACACACACACACACACACAGAGTCAACTCTCAGTCACTCAGGGCCACAGTCTCAAATCCAGAGCCCTGCCAGTTCAACCAACTGATGGATTAGATTGTGTGCTAAACCATGCCATACATAATTCACCAGGTCTAACGTACAAAGCCTTGTTAAATCTTTCTAAAGGAACTTTTTACATTCTAAAATGGCCACTCACAAAAGAAATGCACAGAAATTACGATGCCCAGAATCTCCACTAGTCACAAGGAAAACCTGATTTGAAATTGGTTTATAAAAGAGGTAGCAATCTACAGGTTTTGTTGTTGTTGTTGTTGTTATTGTTGTTGTTAAACCATAGCAAAGTTTTATTAAAGCCAGGAAAAAAACCAGGCTATGCAGAGCAAGTCTGGACCAAGTAAATGTAGGAAAGGAGTATACCCTATAGCATGAGTGTGGACCACCATGGAAGAGCAAGACACAGTGGCCTTATCTGCAGTTCTACTCAACAGGAAAAAAATGGAATATGCTTAGTGCAGGTATTTAGAAATTTCTAATGACTGAACTTTTGTTATGGAAGAGCGATTTCTCAACTTTTTCTCCACTCAGGAAGGACTGGAGGGAATACATATAGCCTACCCTCAAGCTAGTCCTTAATGCTCTCCAAGAGACAAGTGGCTGATCAGACTGGCTTAGTCCTTAATGCTCTCCAAGAGACAAGTGGCTGATCAGACTGGACGAGCATGGCCACTATTACAATACCTTGCACCCATGGGCAGGGTATTGCACTGATATTAACAGTGAACACTTCTGGGATCTCAGCAACTGGATATGTGACAAATGGAGTCCTCCCTGTGCTGAAGGTCCCCCTAAATGCAAGGATGGGGTGGGTTGAAAAGATAATAAGCATCAACAGAGTTCTTGTGATCCGATTCACTGAGAAAAGACAGGGAAGCTGCCTTGGCCTCAGATCTAAGCCACAGTCTCCTAAGCATACAGGAAATTACGACACTTGCCCAGACTAAGCAAGCTTCACTCTGCTTCTTACTCACCTAAAGATCCTTGGGCACAGACCTCCAGAGGTAGGGACAGGTAAGTTGCACTCTGAACTTTCTCCCTACAGTGCAGCCCTAGCTCAATAGCCCCCAGTGATTGTCACCTTCAGGCAAACAAGTGAGTCATGACATAGGTCAGAAAGGGCACAGTTGCAATGCATATATTTTGATGACAGAGACCAATTTAATAATATTTTCCTGTGCTCTCAGGTGAGCATCGTTTAGCCTAAAAGACTTTTACTCTAGCCAACTCTTAATCTTGGTCTGAAGAGAGGAACTATGGGGTCAATAAGCTTCAGTGAGAAATGAGGAATAAGGTGAGGACAAGCAGAGAAACCCCATGCTCTGGCAGAGAGGCAGGTCCAGGTGTGAGGGTCTCAGAGGAGAGCTAAAGGAAGGAGCCAAAGAAGATCAAACAGGAAGATAAAACTTTGTTTAGGGATGGCTCTGACTTGATATATTTTTATTACTGAAAATTTCTATGAGCTATTATATAGATTCAATATACTATGTATGTATATAATTATATTTCATTCTACTTGTATCATGATGCTCAGAAATTTAGCTAAGTTTTATCAGTTAAAATCAGGATTCATATGTTGGGTACCTAAATAGATTTTTTTTCTTGTTGCTCTTTCTTTTTCCCATAACATGGTCTCTAAAAACATATAATGATCAAAAGATTATTAATAGATCCATTGTTTGCAAATGCACCATAGAACCTCAGATGATACAAAAGAACTCTAACTTACTCAGATGTTTCAAATTTTCAAGTACTATTCTTAACCATCAAAAGATGAAATACACAGACAAGCCAATAATGGGAAAATACATAACATACTTTGTAGTTTTTCACTCTGCTTTTCCGAGAACTGTATTCACTCTATAGAGATTGCTGCTGAAGAGCCGGGGTGGGGGGCAAAGGTTGCCATGCTGAAAACACTAATGCCACACAGTTCACCAGCAGCTGCCACACCTGTGATACAAAGCTGGCCACTGATTCAAGTCCACCGATGACTTTTAATAGAAAACAACCCTTGAGTCACTGTTCCTGGAAGAAGCATCTTCAATTTAGTTTTATGCTTAAAAATCTGAGGGCTTGATCTGACAGTCTGAACCAAAAATCACTTGAGAGAAGTTATGGCTGATGAGAGAGGAAAATCTGTTGAGAAGCTTTGAAGATCAGAGCTGTGTGGGGACCAGGATCAAGGACATAGTCTTCTCATTCTTGGGAAATACAAGCCAATCAGAGCTACACAAGACAGCAAATTTGCTAGATATTGCTTAGTAGTCATCTCACATAATAAATCATGAGCAATTATATATTTATGGTTAGTAATGAATTTGCTCATATAAAGCTGACACTATATCACAAAATAAAATGGTTTAAATAAAAACTTCGGATCTGTGGTTCTAGAAGTTTAAGTTTCAAATATTAGGGCATTCATCTGTAATAAAATAAGCCAGCATAAATGCTAAAAAATAATGGAAAAGTTTGAAAAACCTACAAAGCAAGACGATGCTATTCCGACTGGGGCTGGTCAGCGTCACACTCATTTTCCACATTTGCACCCCTGAGACAACTGTTTATAACCATTATACAGTAGGCACAGAAATCAGCACACTTCATCAAGCACAACACTAAATGGCTGATACATTAAAAATTATATTAACTTTATAAATGTTGCAGAGAGAAGAGAATAATCTTAAAAGTTTTAAAATCTGTGCTTGGTTTTCCTCTAGAATGGAGTTAATGTCAGGCAAATAAACATTACGTGACTTGGATGTCTTTCTCTCTTGCCTGCAAATCCCCTTGCAATTCTCAAAGTATACATAGAGAAAACCATTAACAACGGAAAACAGTTGATGCAGGATTTGTTTTGCATGTATGTACTGAACAGTATTGGCCTGGAAGTGCTTCCTGAAGAATTCTTTGGGTTGGTTACAACAGCTCCAAATCTTAGTTTTAGGAGGAGGGGAGAATTCTGAGCCACTGTCCCTGGCCTTTGGACTACATTAAAAGACACAAACACTTCTGGTATAACTTGCACAGTGAAGTTCACCTGGGTAGCAATACTTCACAGTGTTCCTCCAGGGACACCAGTGCTGCTGCAGCAACACCAGCAGTAACAGCTTATTGAGATGGCAGACTGAAGTGACAAGGTGACATGTTAATCATTCGGTTTGTTCTGAAAAAAGTTTGAAAAGGACCACCCCCCTCCACTTGACTTAGGGGAGTCTTCATCTCTAGGGGGAATCAAAAACTGTCGGGAATTGATGGAGCATGGACTTCCAAAAGAGACAATTTCACTGTTACTGTCTGTGGATCTAGGTGAGTCTGGAGAGACCAATTTCCAAGTATTAACATTTGCCTGAGGTCGGTAACCCGCAGTTTTATCTATGTCATCCTCTGCAGCTGTCTCTTCTACAGTAGACTTGATGGGAAGGCGCATTTGTGGCTTATAGCCTGCCCCAACTATGGGGTCGGTTTCTTGGTCTTCCTCTGGTTTGGCCTGAGGCTGATACATGGACTGAACGTCAATGTAGATGACCTGTGAAGTACCTCCTGCTTCATCCATAGCTGGGTTTGGAATTTCTTCCTCGATGATCGGTGGGCAATAGGATACAATCACATGATTTTCAGGTTCTACATCAGAGCTATCTATGGGACGCTCAGCTACTGGGGAAATTATTTCTGTATCTTCTATTTTAGGAAGTGTTGACCGAGTTTCCAGAACCTCAACATTATTTGGGGTACAAGGATTCATTTCCAATGTTTTAAGAGCACTGCTTCCCTAGAAATAAATTTTAAAATAGTTATTAATATTAAATACTACTATAATGCTATTAGAAAGGGCATATTTATTTTTTAACATCTGCTTATAAACATTTGCCTTTGCTACTCTGAGGAAAATCACTTTTTTCTCTACATCAATATTTTCTACTAATAGTAGTAGAAAAAAAAGAACATGGTGTGCACAATTTAAGATTAATAACTTCAGAAACTCAGATCATCTTATAAATCAATGCTATTTTGCCTAATACTTTTTACTCAGGGAGACATGTGCATGTCATAAATTTTTCACAAAAGAGAAAGAAGCCAGTAGTTCAAAGACAACAGTATGAAAGTATTACCTCGCAGACACTCTTTTGAAACTGTAATGCTTTACAATTTTCTGGATTTGGAATATCAGGGTAGAAGGTCTCCTTAATCCTTTAAATAAAGAATGATTTAGTACATTTAATAACTATATTATCAATTAGGTAAGTTATCAGCTTATATTGACACTTTATGTTAATGTTTCAATGAACATCTGAAATAAACACAGACATTCTTAGTTCATGATCAGTCCCTAGAGCTTCAATATAAGGTTCCAACTGGAGAATTAAAACAGTAGTACTACATCTAGAACTCTGACAGTTTGTAAATCCGGTAAGATTGAAAAGCAAATAATTAAAATGAGGAATGTGTTATTATCCAAAGAAAATTACAGGTATTGTTAGTGCAGCTGTAATTTTTGGTTGCATACTGCATTCAGCAGGATCAACCAGGAAAGGCTGTATCTGCATTTGCTGTTCTCTCTTGTACAGAGCAGCATCTCCACCATGCAAGGAACAGCTGTGGCACCCTGTGACTGCAACTGTTGGTGAAAACAGTAAGTGAGGTGACAGTCATACATCACAAAGGCATTACCCGGCAGGCTAAGAAAACAAAAGGGTATCAATCTTGGGTAAAAACTAAATGCAAACCAAGAATGAGACCCGCGTAATGTCATATCATATTTTTATGTGATATTTAACAAGAACTTTATTACTTGAAGTTCCTACAGGAAAAATAACTTTGTTAATGTGGACCTGATAATGTGAGTCTATAGGAAATCTAAGCTTCTTTCTTATTTGGTCTTTTTTAGTACTAAAATAGTTGCTTTTAAAACGTAAATTTTCATAATGAGACTATTATTATCAAAAATAGGTTACTGTATCTTTCTACAGCTATTACTATTCTGATTTAGGAGCTAGCACTGCCCAAACATATTATCTCCCATGCAATAAACAATGACTTCCTTAAGGTGAGGACCTGTCTGTGCTTGAACCAGCCCTCCCACCAAACACAGGCCGGGGCAGCTCTAGCCAGAGCGGCAACTGCTTCACACAGCCCAGCCCACACCTTGCCTCTCATCTCAGCCTCTCTCCAGTTCTCTGGCCACAAGCCCCTCCAGTCTCAAGGCCCATAGAGCTGTTCTCCCGCCTTTCTTGCGTTTCGTGACTCTCTCAGAGCAGCTTTCTTGCCAGGCTCCCAATGGCATTGGTTCCTCCTTCTTGGTCCCACTCACATCCTGCATCCTCACTGGATGCTTAATGCTTACTGTCACTGTCCTTGTCTCACACTGTACTACAGGTCTCCAAGGATCAAGACACTTTATTCATTACCACATCCCTTTTCATGCGGAAGGGGTCTTCATATATAATGGATAAGCCATTAAATGATCCAAATAACCTGATTTTCTAAATGGGTCATCAGGACAAGTGAGAGCTTAATCATTAATATATAATTTTGAAGAGATTACTGTCATGTTTAACCCTGAAAATACTTTTGTTTTTTGAGCATTGCTGCCATTACTTTAAATTATTAGTAAAAGCAACAGGGAAGAATTTATACTTTATTGTATTAGTTGTAACACTTTTAAATGTTTTTTTTTTTTTTTTTTTTTGCCTAAGATTAAAGTCAACATTAATTCCAACTAAAAATATAATTCCTAACTTGTTTGGTTAAAAAGATAAGCTTACAGTATAACCCATAGAATAATCAAGCTCTTAAAAACAAAATACAGTAAATGCAGGCACTATTACCATTCTCTTTTCCGATAGCAAAGGATGCTTGTTACCACTCCAATAATGACAGCCACTGCCACTGGGATGAGAATGGCAATAATTAATCCCACAGCTGAAAAAAAGAATGTTGCAAATAAAAATCACCATTTTTCAGCATCAAGTATACTATTACTCACAGAGAAAAATAAATATAGCTGTTCCAGGGATACTGACAAACTAGTAAAAATATAATCGTCCAATCATTTTTAATACTTCAAATTCTCTAAAGGAGAGTTTCTCAGTCTTGGCACTACTGTTTGGAGAGGGCTGTCCTGGGCACTGTGGGAAACTTACCAGCACCCCTTGCCTCTACCCACTGAGCTCCAGCAGCATCCACCTCTCAAGTTCCAACAATCAAAAATGTCATCAGACTGTTAAGAGTCCTTGAAGGGCAAAATGCCCCAGCTGAAAACCACAACTTTAGGGAATGATATCCTCATGGTTCTTTATCTGAGTGATATAAGAACTCCAACACACAAGTAAAGGATAAGTCTATAAATAAATTAAAGTTTTTTGATATTGGAAGGTAAGTCAAAGCCATAAGTTTTCTCTACTTCCATCTTATATTTACAAAAATGTTGTGGTTTTGGAAATTTTTCAGCAGTGTTTTTTAGTTTTTCAGTGCTGAGATTCAAATCCAGGGTCTTACTCACACTAGACAAGAATTCTACTACTGAACTACATCCTTTTTAAAGGCTACTTCATTTACTTTTCCCTAGACTTATTAAAAATATCACATGCTACCTGGGGCAAATGTTTTAATTGGCTAATCATTATATAAATTCAACAAGAATTTTAAACCTCTACACTCCGAATATACTACTAATTCATTACTTTACTAGGTACTCATTTGGAAATAGCTTCAAATGTCTGAAGAATAAACATGAACTTATCTCACGACCTTTAAAAATGCCCTTTATCCGACATCCAAATATAATAAAATGTGAAACCTTTTAGAAGTAGAGGTAGGGACTCCTATATAAACCAAAAATTGGCTTGGAACACTGATGGTCATTCCAAACTTACAGTTCTCCTTCGTCACCACAAACATGCTCTTCTCTGGGCCCAGGCCACCATCTGTGTAGGCTCGAAGAACCAGATGGTAACTCGTTTTACCCTGAAGATCAGCAATTCTCAGTGTCTTCTGGGATATGTCAGTAATATTCTTCACCTTGATGTCAGAACGACCTGATTTTCAAATGAAGAATATTTTAATCATCCTAACACCATTTCAAACACATGGTGGTTATGCACGCCTGTCACACCAACCACTTCTTTTACATGAACCTGGCTACTGGACACCCCAGCCAGCAAAGCCATGTTCAGGTTCTACCTCTACCAGACAAGAGCTATGTTTAGACTATGCTGGATTTGAGCTCTCTGAATTGAAACCAAGTACATCACTTGCCTCAAAGAGTTGTGTGAAGCTGTTCAGAGAGGATGTGAAGTTCACAGTCATCTGCTGGACCACTGTCTGACATATAGCAGGCAATCAATAAAATACAATTTCTTGTCTGTTGCTAAGAGCAGGTAAACCACTCCACTCAGGCTAATCCTGCCTATGAGTAAGTGGTAAGGGCTGATGGGGAAACAGTGCAGATCAAAGATGACTTCAAACCACTTATAAAAAGTGCATTATGGGAATTCTCTAATGATGGGCTATGAGATAGCCTTTGAATCACTTCAATAGGAAGTGTGAAGAAGTGCTTAAACTTTACCTCATTCTTAAGACTCTCAACTAAAATAAAACAAGATGATAGTTTAAAAAATTACATAGTATTAATGGCTCCTTACCAGCCCCTCCTCTTATTATTTACAACTATTTAAAAATCAAGCTATCCACCTCTCCGGGTATGTACCTCCTTTTTGTGAAACAAAAACTTAAGGTTGTTTCTACAGCAGGTTCTTTCTTCATGAGTTGTCTGAAAATTCCTTGTAATAGACCTTACTGTGTACTTAAAGGATCCATTTACTTTTTTATGTATATACACAGGTCACTCCATTTCGGCCCATCAGCCAAACACCACCATTCAGCCTGGGTTCATGCTAACCATCTGCTCCAACACTTGCTCCTACAGGATGAACCACATTATATCTCATGACACCCAATGCTACTCACTTAGATTTCACCACCCTCCACTCTTCTGAGTCACTTGCTGCATGTCAATCACAACATATCTAAATTCTCTTTTCTGGTGGCACCTAGCCTCTTGCATTCCCATTATCCATGCGGCTTTATGGAGTTCTTTATATTTTACTCTAACACTTGAGTAACCAATCCATCAAATCTAACCAGAAATCCAGACGCTAGACTTTTAACTAGTTAAAATGAAAGTTTTCTGAGCATTTGAGGGAAATTATGCTAGACTCCGAATGTTTGTACCATTTGATACACAGAGCTTTCTCCACCCACAGGCAACCCTGAAGGTGCAGGAGCTGTAGAAGCTAGGAGCCTGGGGAGGTATACATACAGCAGAGCAGCTCTCAAAGTTTACTATGTGTCCAGTCAGCATCTGGATGTAGCTTTGTTATTCATGGCTTGAGAGGCATTAAATAATTACAATGGTTTCATCCTGAGAAGTCCTCGTTAATGGAAATGAAAGCTCTTAAATTGAAAAAATGATCCGCTGTGTCTTATGCCTATGAACAAGAAACATCTGACTCCCAACAGAAACGTAACTTAGGGAAATGCTAGAAATCTGTGTAAGTATTTCTGAATCAGTACTCTGAGAACTCCCTAAGGGTCTAAGGTGTTTGGACATACACTCTACTGTTGACAACGAATGACTGTACTTTTTAAAATTCAATTGATAGTCACATCCTTATTCAAATAAATTAAGTTTTCCAGCTCATTATAGCTAAAGGAGACATTAACCATTTGATAGCTCTTTCTGGTGTTACAATGCAGGCTCTGAAGTCATTTTTTAAATTCTTGCATTTTTCTAAGTACAAGAACACTCTTTTGAAGTAAATTTTAAAAGATTACGAAAGGATAACAAGAGATAATCTCTATCTTATGGAGCTTAAAATCAAAAACTTCAGAAGAAATGATATAATAATAAATGACTTCTGAAAGACTAGACACATGACATTTATTACATACCAAAAATCTTAAAGTGCTCATATTCATAAAATGACATTTTCATTTCCCTACTTTTCAGACAATTTTGGAAATCAGTATTAAATTACTCAACATCACTTTGTTTACTTTTCTCTTTACTTTTTGTGGTTACTGAGCACTTCTAAGAAACTATAATCAGGTTAGGAATTTGCTTACCTGATTCCAAACCCCTTACTTTAGATGTATCTCTCTCTCCTTTTTCAAAGTAAAATAAATATCCTCTTAAAAAGCCTCTAAGCTCTTCCACAGGAATAGCTTCCCATTTTACTAATATGGAATCTGCAGATGTATCTTCAACAGTAAAATTTGGTGCAACAATTGGAGCTGTAAAGTGAAGATGTCAATTGTTGAAAGAAAGTTTACCGATACAGAGAAATACAGTAATGGTTCATGAGCTTTCTTGCCTAAAAAGCAGCCAAACTTGGAATTAAAACTGTATTCTCTATTCAATTATAAACTTCCAGTGATTATCACAAAGCTTACAAATAATAAATAGACAAAAACATTTTGAGAAACAAAAGTAAACTTCATAAACTTTTACACAAAACACACACCCAGAAAAACAACTTCTTAAAAATCTAAGTGGTCAAAGACTTCATTTTATTTCCCTTCTTTATTACCAGTGCTGAGTAAGTTAACAGTTTTCAAAACTTGAATAAATGCAAATAAAATATTTCTGACATCCACATAAAGTTTTAGTTTTTTCAATGACAACAGTAAACTATGAAATATAAACAGTACCAATTGGATTAAGAATACATAAATAGTTTTAAATCTATAAACTATTTTACCTTGCTTGAACTAAACATCTTAATTCAATCTATTTTTAAAATCAATCTATTTGTCAGTTTATGACAAACTCTAAGAACTTTAACTTACCCAATTCTTCAATATATCCAATTATGGAACGTAATAATTGATATCCTTGATTTCTGCACCCATACAGGAAAAAATTGTATCTGACACCTGGCTGAAATTGATCTATAAAATGAATGTTAATAAAAATTCATAAATATTTATATATGTGTGTGTATAGATATATACACACAAAAGTTACAATATTTATTTTAGAAGTATATAATTTATATTTTCAAAATTCCCAAAGTTAATCTTTAATAGATGTTTTATTACAAAAATACATTTGCATTTTCAAACAGTAAATATTTAGAGTGAAAATCACTAAGCAAAATTTAAACACATCCACTCATACTGCAGCATTATAAGATGATCCTGCCTTGAAAAGAATAAAGGTGATCAAGGCTTACGTTCTGTTCAATAAAATCAAGTGATGATGATTTCTTCCCAATTTTGACCCAGGGTCAGTTTACTAACTTCCAATTTCAGGTCTATATCATACCTTAATAAATCCCTTCTCTACCTGATGTTATTTCTGGATTGGGAAAAAAAAATCACTATTCTACTTGTGATTCAAAAAGCAGAATACTAAGGGTTTTACTCTACCCCGAAGCTTCAATGTTAAAGAAACTACGCCTTTAAGGTCTATTCCATTCTACAACATTATCATTAAATACTCCTGAGCGAATTAACTGTATAAGCCATACAAAGGAAACTTTAACTTCAACTCAAAGAACATCTTTTAAATCCCTCCTCAATATAACGTAATGTACAAAAGAGGAACACAGAAATGCACAGAACAAGGTCCTGTTATGGAGACAGAGAAGTGGGGAAGACCCATGGACAAGGGAAGGCATAACACAGTGCACACTGCACTTAGGGTACACAACAGATGCTGAGCCCAAGATGGTCCAAAACATCGACCATAAGCAGTCTCTGCACAGGGGCCTGACAGGCACCTGGGAACTCATAAGGGGTGACGTAAGAAGACAGTGCTTGGATTACTGAACACAACTGTTTGCAGTCTCACTGTTTGAATGTTCGCTTTGTGTGCTTTGATCCTGTGACCTGAAACACACCGTTTCTAAGATGATAGCGAGTAATCTATTGACTGGTGACAGCTTACTGTTTTTTTTTTTTTTTTTCTTTTTTTTAGTTCTGAATGACTTGTACCCTTACACTATTTTACTATTTTGCTTTGTTCTGCTTTTTTTCTCTTTTTCCTTTTAAATAAAAAAAAAAAAGAAGAAGAAGAAGAAGACAGTGCTAGCAGGAGAGTGGCAGCACAGGGAACTGCATTTCACATGCTGAAGAGTGTGGTTGAAACTGCATCACTTCTCCAATTTTGTGCCCACAGAGACCAGCAGTCCACAGATTGAAAAGTGAGATAGTCAATCTGTAAAATTCTATAGCCCAAAGAAAAACAGAATGGACTTGTCTCCAATTTAATTTTTCTTTCTGCAATATTTTTCCTTAAATGTGTTTTATATGCTGTCACATACTAAGTAGATATCAATGGAAAACTCAAACTCAGCTGAGTGTTTAGTTGTAAAACATTTTTTTGAGGAAATATACACTTGCATATGCTTATAGTGCATACACAACAGTAAATCTGTACCTCACTTATGTTAAAATTATGTTTAATCAATACTGCTTAGAGTTCAGCCACTTAAAGAAAGCCCAAGTGGGTTAAAGCATTAGGAACACATGCTGTGGTCAAGAGAGAAAGGAATACTGCAGGAGTGGGTGGCTGGATGAAAAAGGAAGGAGGGAGAAGGAGAAGTATGTACCACAGTGTGTGAGAAGCCCGGCCTCGCAAAGCTTTGTGCAGCTTTAAATTTGAATTCTGGTGCGATTATATACTAATTGGGCAAGATACCTAACTGCTAACAGCCTTTGTTTCCTCACCACTGGAGGGCTTCTGCCCATCCATTTTGGTACACAGTTCTTTATGGGTCACCACATCTCAGATTGGCTTCTCTCCGTCCCTGCAGGTCTCAGCTTAAACCTCTATTCCTATCTACAATCTGCATACTATCCATATCCACACATACCCTACCCTGGTCCATTCCAACTGTTCTGAAAACCCAAGTGAGAGGATGGACTGGAACTGTGTGAGGCTCAGTGAGGCCCAGGACAGGGGATCACCGTGGACAGGTGTGGAAGAGGATATAAGTGGAGCAAGATTTAAGAGAAAAAAAAAAAGGACAGCTGGAGAAGAACACCCTGACTCTGACCACTACATATGTGACAGTGTTTGGCTGTATTCCAAGCAGAACTAGAAAATTATCAGAACCCGTAAGTGATATTTCAATGAGTAAGATATACCCTCACCATCCAAAACCAGAAACAAAGTGATGCTCTGGGAGAGAAGAGATTAGCAGGAGCTCACTCTCCTTGTTTTACCAGCGTACAAGGAGAACCAGGAAAGGGGATGGATGGCTTAAGGGGTAATCTTACTCCAGGTAGGAGTCTCAAAAACCCCACAGGGACACAGCTCACCAGCTTCACTAGGAAAGATGACACCGAAAAGAGGGCTCCAATTGCAAAGGATGTGGCAGATATCAACTACTCCTGTGGCTAAATGTATCAAGAGCCACTCATATGAGTCGCTGTGTGTGCCCTACATCCCTGCCTCTAGAGAAAGTTACACTCTCTGGCTCCCTAGCTTTGGTAATTTAGGCCTGGCACAAACAAAAGCACAGGTTGTTTTGTGGATTCCTTTTTCCATGACTGTAACCAATTTATTTAATCTCTGACATAAATTTTACTGCTATGTCATGGTCCCATTTTATACATGTACCACTTTTACCCATTCCCTTACTGCTATACAGTTTGTTTTCAACTTTTTACATGTGGTGCTGCAGAGAACATTCTTACAGGAAAATTCATGTTCTCTGATGATTTCTTAAGAATAAATTCCCAGACAAGTACTGTAATCATGAAATCACAGTTTCTGACATGTACATCATACCACAGATCATCCTCTAGAAAAGGTAAACAATTCATATACACCAGCCAATAACATGTATGTTACTTTTAAATAATACTTTTTACAATGCCTATGGTGAACTTTTTTCTCTTGTTCTTTTCAATTTTTATCTTTTATGAATATTAGTTCATGTTTGCAGTAAATATTTAAGAACTGAGAAATACTAGCATTCTTACCAGATTCTATTATGGCCTCAGTGCTGTTTGAAGGAACTTTTTTCCAATCCATAAGACATGGCTCAGACCGAGATGAATTACACCATTTAATAACATAGTCGCAAGTCATGTTGGGGTCAGGATGCCAGGTAAGGAGAATCCTCTTTCCCATTCCAACAACTTGCTCTACTCTGAGATCATCTTCAACAAGAAAGAAGCATATTTTATTGGCACTAAAAATACTACCATGCACAGGAGTTGTAACAATTACTTTACTGTACACAAATTATAAAACAGTGCTCAAACTAGGTAAATGTTTAGCAAAGCAGCGTATTGCTGCTACTTTCGGCATAACAACTGAATAGCACTTACCTGTATCCAGCATTTAACTCAGCAACTGAGGAATTAAAAGGCAACTAGGATCAGGTAGCAACAGCTGGAGGCTGGGACAAAAGATGAAGGTTCAGGAAGAATGGCGTGAAGGGCATAAGGAAGGAAGTAAAGCCACTAGAGGATGTGGTGTGGCTACACTGTTGAGAGAGGAGGTGGGAGCCTGGCAGAGACTCTGAATGCAAGCTCCATGAGAGCTGGTGGTGGACAACATGCAGAAAGGACACACAGGAAAGCACGGAAGATCAAGCGAGCAGGTGCACTTTCCTGCTTTCCAAGAAGCCTGCTGCCCTGGGGCAGGCCTGAAGGGTTCTGATCCACTCAGAGCAGGGCGGGAGGGGAGGATCCACTAATGCACTGAGGTGTGAGGTGGGGTGTGGGCAGAGGGGCACAGCATGGCGCCTGAAGCAAGGGAGAGGGGAAAAGGATTCTGTTCTGGGGTTGTCTTCTCTGATCTGCCAGATCTGTACCTCAATGAGAAATAGAACCCAAGGCCAGGGGAGAAGAATTGGGTTAGGGGACAGAACAGTGCAGTCAAAGTAATTTCTGGATCTGATTTTAGTTCAGAGTTCAGTTAAAAAAAACCACAGAAATATTTTCTGTGCAAATGTACACTCACAAAGCAGCTACCATTGAACACAAGACAACAATCTGGGTTAGAATACAGAAAACAGCTTTTTGGCCTCCATATTATCACAAATCCACAGCAGAAATCTGAGCTGGGGCTGCAGTTCATTGTCTAAACTCTTGGGAACTCTTCCAGGAGCCATGAGGTGCTGGGGTTGTAGTTCACTGTTTGAAGGCTGATGACCAGGTCAAGGTTAACCTCTGCAAGCTACCATCCCTCAAGGTAAGACATGTAGTCCTTGAGTTAAGACAATACAGCTGTTGCTTATCACTGTGAGAGCAATGAAGTAAATGATCTAAGCCAGAAGTCAGCTTCTTAAGTTCACACATCTGCTGTGGCAGGCCAGACCCACATGGCGGCTCTTTAGTCTGCTTGTAATGATCCTGCCTAGCTCTATCTGTACCACTACTGCTCTGGGCCTCTCCGGGCTACCTTGATAGCTCAGCCAGGACAATATCTGTCTCTCTGAAACATACTAGGTTTTCCCCATTTCTTCCTCCTACTTTTCCTACTTTGGCCTCAAAGAGAACAGAGAATTAGTTAAATAACAAGCAGTATGAAACTGCTGCAAGCTGACCTCAGAGATCCTTACAGGACCCATGTGCCTTCCTCTAGGAGTATTAGAGAAAGGTGTTCCAAGACAGGGACAGGGATAGAAAATGACCTGAAAGAAGGGAAGTGGTCATTTCTTTAAAACCCATGACTCAAAAAACTGTCTAGATGGAGCTAAAAAGAAACACTGCATCCAGTAATCTGACAACTGTAAAACTTAAAGGAAGATAACTCAAATTTTAAAACTCCATCAGTTTGGTTTTTATTCCCAAGATAGAATTCAGAGTTTAGAAACATTTTATCACTAAAGAATTTCTTATCAACAAAGCCACCAAGTAATTTTTCCTGCCTGACAGTTTGTAAAACAGCCTTGCTTGACAGCATAAGCTCTTAGCCTTAGAGATATCGGAAAACAATATTTTAATAAACAGTTCAGCTATTTCTTCTTATAAGTACCCCCCCAAACCATAACTCTCTAAGAAATGTGATTAAAGTAATTGGATACAGTAAACTTTTTTAATCTGTGAGTATATATGCTTCAAATGAACAGTAACAACTATGTCTCAGTGAGTATTAGACATGCATAGGTCAGCAGCAAGTATCAGTAGTGACGAGACTGTTTTCATACTTTATTTTTGTCCTTAAGCACCAAGTTTTCCTAAGCACTCACCGTTTGGGATTTCCATGCTGGCTATTTTAGACGGTGGTGATGAGCCAACCGAGTTCTTTGCTACCACACTGATGATGTAGTCATTTTTATCCAGCCGTATTTCCGCTTTGTGTTGAGGATCAGGGATCTCAGAAAGGGACTGTGTTTCCTCATCTGATGAACATGACACATTATAGGAAAGGATTTTTCCATTAGCTTCATTAATAGGTAAAGGCTATGACAAACAGAAAATAAATTTTGTTATTAAAAACTTGTAAAAAATAAGTGACTAGGCAAGGTCATCAAGTTTAAACTGAATGTTAGGTTCACAATGACTAACAACAGAGAAAGGTGAAATGCCCACAAGACAAAACACAGATTCAAACTCTACTGCAATCTAGGGAAATTGGGAAAGTCATACTTTGGAAACTTATGCTTGCTGAAAGTATTAAAAGTACATAGAAATTTTAAAAACTAAGAAAATACAAAACAAGACTTATCTTCACAGATATCCAAGTATCTTATCCTTTTAAAGTTGGAAAGAGATTTAAATTAATGTGAAGCAAAAATTTTAAAAGTCTGACATGCTTTTATTTATGTTTTTGGTACCGGGAGCACACGCTTGTGAGGCAGGTGCTTACGTCACTGAGCATTTCCTGGCCTTGACATGCTTTTAAAAAACTAGCCTTTTCATTTTTAAAATAATGTCATTAAAGACAACTGAAAAAAACATATGAAAATTGAAAGACAGCAAGTAAAACTATCCCATATTTCTACCTTTTAAACATGCTTGTATTTTGATCTCTCTTTTCAGCTGTTTTGCTAAATGCAGGATTTTTTTTCTTAATGGCCCCACCATGACATTCAAGCACGCTCTTAAATGATGTAACTTACCTTCATCAGAACCTTGCCTTAAGGATGGAAAGAGTTCATTCATTGTTCATATCAAAACATAACTGTACATTTTTTCCCTTTTATCTGAACAAACACTTGTCCACACTAATACAATTACATTTCAGTGACTTTACATTGCATGTAGCATTTTTACCACTGTACTTTAATGTTCCTTAAATACATGAAATTTAAATTGTTCTTAAGTTTTCACAATAATAAAACAGTAGTATTTTGGTGAATACTTTTGGGCTATTTTTTTCCTTTTTTATACTTAGGATAAAGTATTTAATCTGAATCCCCAAAACGGGACAGATTGTATGCAAAAACGTGAACATTCAAAGTTCATTATTTATATAGCTAAAATGCTTTTCAAAACTACTTCCCCAACACATATGGTACCATGTGAGATTTGCTCATCTACTCATAGAAGAAAAATGTAACGAACACTTGGGATTCTAACTTGTAGTTTCTGGCTGAATTTCTGACAAAAAGCAAGGGGGAAGAGATTTCTGAAATTGTCACGTCCTCAATGGGGCTCATAAAATCAAATTAAAGAGTGCTAAGAACTGAGACTGTGGTAAATGGGAAGGGATGCGGAATTTGGAGATTTAGGAGGTAGATCTCAGCAGTACTGTAGACTCAGCCAATCCAGGAAATGCTGACTTCCTGATAACTGCACTACCAGATAAATGTACGTTAAACACTGGGGATAATACAGTAATTTAAATGTTTAAGGAAAAATTAGATATTTACCTTCCAGTAGATTATCAAGTTTTTTCCATCAGAACTCCACTCTCTCCATGTATCTGGTCCTTTTGAAGGAACTAGGAAGGAGATTTCAAACTTAGCAAATGGAGACACTTACGGTTTGTCGTCCTGTCAGACACTCAGATGGTACTGCTAAAAACCTTTATTCTTTGGTATTTCAAATGCTCAATAAAATGTGAAGCAGCTCAGTGGCTTAAAAATGAATTTAGAAAATAAAGCAATAGAAAGCTAAGCTCTTGATTTCTACAAAACACAAGGTCCCACAAAGTGGGCTAAAATCACACTCAAGGCCAGCTGTGATTGCTCTTAGGTGCCTCTCTGTCTTCCATCTTCCCATTTTCCCATGAACGATAATTAGTCATAAATCATTTAGTTAACTTACTGGCTTCTGTGGTTAAATGTTGTTTTTCACTGCTCCATTTGCTCCATTTCCAGTAGGTTTCAGAAGAACAACGAATCCGGAAAGTATATATAGTATATGGATTTAATCTGTCCACAGCAACACGGTAACTTGAATTTTCTAGTCCTTTGATTGTCACATTCCGCTATTTGAAAACAAGTATGTATACGTATATATGCCATGGGTATGAACATATGAATACACCTCCACACACATTTTTTGTAAGACATCTTCCCATGTAAACAGTATAAATCAACTGAGTGTCCATAAGAGCTTCTATTTAAGCACCAAAAAGAACTTATCCACTATAATGGATATTTTATATTTTGATTTTTGAATAATATTTTATGTTTTACTTCTAATATACAGGCAGTATCAAGTTGATAAAACTCTGTTCTATAATATCAATAAAATGAGATATCTTTTTAATCCAAATATTTAATCTAAGTAACATTAAATTATGCAGAGAATGATATAGTTTTGATAACTAGTCAAGAGCTAATGATTATATAATAAACCTGAACATAATTTGGTAATCTTAGATGACCACAAGGGCTTGCACATTAAATGTATTATATTCAGTATCTGGAAGCTTCCTGCAGGCAGGTGGCATCAGCTTTTACATGTCTTTGTTACTGTGTCACTTAGGACATCTAGTATGGTGCTAAACATAGTAAATAGTCCACAGACATTTAAATCAAACAAATAAAAAGCAATTTTAAACACATCTTAGAATCTGCATGTACCAGGAAAATCTCTGAATTCCCAAATGCTTGTTACAAAGATTTTTTTCAGGTTATAGTTTGCAGTTTTGACTCATTTTCTAGAAAGCAGAAAATTTCCAAATGAGTATTGAAGTACAATACAGTATCATTTATTTTGGATGTACCACAAATTACAAACAGTATAGTGTAAGCCTAAATATTTAAAATGTACTGAAAAGTCAAGCTTTGACTAAATTACCAATTATAACTTGCCCTCATCGTTGCACTCTATAATTTTAAAAATCACTACTACTCTCTAGTGCCAATTATTCCATTAACTGCTGTGAACGGTTACAGACAGCAAGGAGTTCATTTTCAAACTAAGCACCAGCTACATGGCAGGTATTATATGCTAGACCTGGACACATTCTTAGGAGTAAAAGTTTAACTTACCTTCTGTAACACCCAGTGTTATAATTATTGTTAAGTAGTAAGTATGGTGCCACTGTTACATTGGTATTAATGTCTTGCTTATTTAGTAGGTTTCTAGAATAGACAGCTTATGCATATCATAGAAGAACTTTACTTACCAACTCTTGTGCTGAATTAGCTTTATTAATTTTAATTTGACATAAAAGATTAATCTTTGCAAAGTTGCCTGATAAACGCCAAGAAAGTGTAACAGCTTTTGAATTAATATCCTTCACTCTGAATGAAGTAGGAGAATGTGGAGAAACTGTAAATAGAATTTTACATAATTCTTTAAACTTTTATTTCCAAGTGAAAACTGTAACTATGATACCTCCTAACTCCTAATATGATAAATGAGAATGAAAGAAAACAAAATCCAAGGGGAATAGTTAGTGTTGAAAGAAATATTCTACCACGTATCTATGGCATCTACAAACTTCACTTTTGCTGTTAATGATACGTTTTTAAAAAACCAGTCATACTCAAGGTCCTTCTTTTGTTGTTGAGAACACTGAAAAGGTAGTAAGATCACAGTCTATACCTTTATGGAACTTCTAATAACTTCTAACATACTGGGAATAACAAACAAAAAAGAAGGAAAACTGAAATTCTATGCTAGATTCTAAGTGCATGGTAGAGATGTTAGCTGCCCCAGGAACTTAAGTAAATGTAGAGTGATGGGGAAAGTTTTACAGTGAACATAGAATTTAAGTTGAGCATCAAAGAAAGAAGCATACTAAAACTGGCAAAAGGAACTCAGAAAAATATTTCAGGTTGGGGTCTTGACAATAAGGACACAGTGCAGCACAATGCACATGATACTGGTGACTGTACACAGGTCAGTCTGAGTGATAGAAGAGAACCCCTGGGAAACGACGGTGAAATGGCAGGGAGCAGACAAATGGAAACACTATCCCTGAACTATAAAATGCAGTTTTTTGACGCTGGAAGAAAACAGGAAAAAAATGTGAAAGGAAAGAGTAACAGATGAAAGCCACTTATGTTTCCAAGTAGGGAAACAGGTTCTTTCACTACTCACTTGTAGACTGTAAGATAATGCATTTGGTTTAAGCCATTTCTCCCCTGAATGTGAGTCTTCAAGATACCTCTGTGCCACTGTTCAGTGTCACACTAAGCCTGGCCTGGCATCATTGCATGTGTTCTAACCATGGGAATGAATGCCAAAATGACTAACTGCATTTTACTTCCATTCTCAGCTATTCATAAATGGGGTTGGTAAAAAAAAAAATTTAGAAATCATCAGTGTAAAAGCAATGAACTACTGATAACATCCAACAACTGGGCTGCCCTTCAAAGACATTATCTTTAGTAAAACATGCCAGCCTCAAAAGGTTATAGCCTTTATAATTTCATTTATGTAACACTCTGAAAATGACAAAACAGATGAACAGTTAGTTGTCTAGCACTGCTAGACAAAGTCACTTACAGGTTTTATGTAAATGACTAATTCAAAATTGTATTTACATAAAATAGCAATAAAACTTGAAGCTACTCATTTTAAAACTTTAGAACAAAATTTAGAAATTTAATATTAAGTACTTCCAGAGAAAATAATCAGTACAGAGATCCCCAAAGGCAGTTCTCATCAATTCCACGGCACTCTGCACTTCTCATATGTTCTTACGACCCTGGCTGATGCAGGAGCAGCTTACCTCTTTCAGTGACATTGACTAGTATTGTTGATTCTGATCGCCCAAGAGGATTGTGAGCATTCAGACTAAAATTATATATTTCTTGATTGGGAATCATTTCAAAGAAAACCCGATAGCTTTCATTTGTAGGTATTTCAGCATTTTTAAATGTAACGTATTTTCCTGAAAAACTGAATTAAATGAAAAATAATTTCAAAATGACACAGTACAAATGTTTCAGAGAAACAGGTAAATTTCTAATGATCTTTATAAAAGTTTACATTTTTAATTACAAACATATAATGCAATAAAAAAAGAAAATCTATATAATATAGAAAATAATCAGTCATAAGCCCATCACCCAGAAACAGACTCTGTCTACATCTGAGGTTCTTCCTTCTAGATTTTAATAGAAAAGATAAAAAATTATGGTCAAGGTGATGTTTTTATAGTATGTACAATTTTGTTTCAGATCTTAAGACCTAATACAGATGAATAAGAACATACATTCCTTATGTTACTAAATGAGTGTTTCCAAAGTACTTGCCATCTGACATCCTTTCCTGGTTATCATTACCTTTCAAATAAAGTGTAGTTTGTACTTCGTGGGCCCACCAACGCTGTTGGTCTTCCTGGGTCCCAGCTACATATAATTTTTTCTAAATCAGGTGTTTCACAATTTAGTTTTTGAGGAACATCAGGTGGATCTGAAGAAATAAATGTAGTTACACATGATTAAAAATGTTTTTACTGCTAATATAGTATTTTATAAAATGTTAATAACATTTTGCACAATTGCCTTAAAAAAGAAACCATTTACTAATTATATTTTACTTCTGAATAATACAGAAATTATTTTCTATAGCATGTTTTGTCAAAGTTCTTACTATATTAGAAATGGTGGATTAAAATATATTAAAAAGTGACTTCACATGGAAATGTCCAATATCACCTTGAGAAATCAAATATCACTTTTTCATTAAGTCCTATTTCAGAATTTACCAAATCTCTAAAAGAAAGAATTTAAACACTAGTGGTTAGCTGTTATAGATCTTAATTTAAAAACTACAAGTTATACAGACACAACCAAGGACTCATTTTAACACATGTAAGAATTCCACATTCTTTGTATATCATTTATACTAATGAACAAGGAGATAAAGAGTAATTCTACAGAAAAAAGAGATCAAATCAATTAATAGCAACTCTCTTGTTAGAATTATGTACTTACATCCTGCAAAAATAACTGTTCCATCCATGGAATTTTCTGTTGAAAAAATCACATTTGTTCCACTATTGTCAGAAACAGAAATATTATGGATCTTGATGGCAACATTTTCTCCATCAAGATGGATAAGGGGACAATTTTTACTGCCGATCTGTGCCAATAACACTTTTTCTTGACTTACACAACAAAATGTTATATCTGAGCCTACAAGTACCACATTGTCTTGAGGAAAAACTTTGGTCTGAGAATCAGGAGTCCCTAGAAAGAACAAAAGAAATTATAAATATTTTAGAAGTGTTTTAGATAGCCATAAACGCCCTTTCCCCCCCCCCAAGATGCACTGGATTTATAGTTCAATAATTTGATGTTGAGACAATGGTGGCCCAAATATGAAGTATATCCCTCATATCCCAAAGAAGCAAGGCACATATAGAAATAAAACTGTACAATTTATTTACTGAAAAGATGCTTAATAGTCTAAAGGTTCAAATTCAGTGGACTTAAATACAGATGAGACAGATTTATATCAAAAGAGGCCGTGATGGGAGGGCTGCAAGTTTTGAGTCTGACCTGGGCAACTCACTGAAACCTTGTCTCAAAAGCAAAAACAAAACTCCCTCAACCCTGAGAGCTGATACACACCTCCCCCCTCCTGCCACCCACTAAATTTTTAATGACCTCTGTTGTACTTTGCTCTCCCCATCCACTCTTCACTGTGGTCCAGCTTCTACTATTCTATGCTCAATCGGTGGGCCCTTCTCAGTCACATTCTTCTGCTCCTATGTACCTAGCCTGCTGTTTAGCCTTCCTCCTCAGAATTCACTCCTTTTTTGGGTTCTGTAACACTAGACTTTCCTGAGCTATTAGTCCTCTGACTAGTTCCTTCCCTCTACCCTACCCCAGACACACACACTCCTAAGGAATGTGTCCTTGGTTCACATTCCCCTTCTAAAGTCACGTTAACCTTCAGGATTTTGAAAGAAATATATATATAGATATGTATATATATATATATATATATATCAATGAACCCAACGAGACCCGTCCAGCAATGCCTACTCACACATGGATGCCAAACTTCCATTACCAACCTCCCATGTGGCTCTATTACCTAAACTCTTCAGTACCTAAAGTCCAATGATTAAAAACAAACATATTCCTCCCCGTGCGACCTGTTCATACCTTTTTTGTCTCAGACACTAGTGTCACTATCCACTCAGTTGCCCACACTGACAATCACCTTTGGCTCTACATCTCTCTTGCTAATGGCATTTTCACTTCTTTCCCCTTTTAATTTCTAAACCCAAGTATCCTAGCTTACACTGTCACTGACATTTTGCTCAACAGACAGTTTCTTATTTATCTACTTGCCTCCAGTTCTCCCTTGCTCTGATCGCTTTTGCACACTGTCACCAGGGTGAGCTATCTCCTGTGATTGTCAGTGCTTTTCAAGACTTCATTTTATTGGTAATGTTGTTCTTAACCCTCCTCTACCCTGGCAGCACTGTGCTTGGACACGTTTTATTTAATGATCAGATAGTTTTTTTCTTTTTTGGTATGTTTACAGAATCCCATATTCTCTATGATAACTATGCATCTTCTAGTGCTACCTGCTCTGGTGCCCAGAAGTCAGAAACTATTTTCTTAAAGTGTCGATTTAATCTCATTTCCAACAACACATTTTTAAATTACTCTTCAGTGCCTTTTATAATGATTTTAATATCTGGGTGTTTATTCAGCCACTCAGGAAGTCTTTAAAAGTCTATCTTGATCTTTAATCTAAAGCTCCTAGGATAGCAGACTTGGAAGCTCTCATGTAGTCCTCATATAGCTCCCACGATTTCAGAGAACTAAGAGTGTACACTGAACATTGTTTTTCAGCATTCCAGTTTATTTGAAAAGAAAGTTCTTTAAATACAGCTTACAAGAAATGTTCTTCACTGGGCTCCATTTACTCCACTCTTTGAGACCAGAGAATTGAAGAGAGTCAATGTAGCACCTAATTCTCACATGATGAATGGCGCATTCCAAGGGCATATCTGAGGTCCAACTCCAGTGATGGACTGTATCTCTGCCATTCAGAGTGGTGTTGTGAGTCACCTAAAAACAAGCCCAAATAAAGCTATATTCCCAAATAGTAAAACATTTTGCTTTCTCTTAGCATCAGAAAATCATGAAAGACCATAACCAAGTAATCAATAAGTAAATGGTATGTCGTTTTGTAAAACTATCTTGTTTTTTTTTTTTTTTTAATACGGCAATAAGAAAAGATAGAGTAACAATCATTACACAGCTATGTGGACTTCTTAAGTGGCAAGCCTTACTGCATTATCACCCAGGATACTGATATTCATCAAAAAGTCTAAAATGGCACCTAAGATGCTAGCTAAAGGCTCTTAACATTTTCACAGAGGAAAAATAATTAATGGGTTTGTATCGCTAAAGTCAAAGGGGGGGCACCATTTCAACAAAATAAATTGTTTTAGGCCGGGCATGGTGGCCCATAACCCTAGCATTTGGGAGCTTGAGGCAGGAAGATAATTGGGAGTTCAAGACCAGCCTGGGATACAAAGTGAACCCAAGGCCAGGCTGAACTGAATAGCAGGACCCTGTCTCAAAAATAACAAAAAGTTTTAAAAACTGTTATATAACAACTGTAATACATACATTCTATATTTTAAACTTTTCTTTAAAATAAAGTATCTTATTTCTCAACTGTTTAATTTACATACAACTTACAGTATTATAGGATATTAATCTTGATTGTGAGAAATGGGCAAGATTGCAATCAAATTTTGAAGATCTACTAAAGATACCTTGGGAGTCTCAGTTAAAAGACAATATATTAAAGAAATGTACTTTGTTTTGTCTTGCTCTGAGACTGTTTCTAAAAGAAGAGTAAACAGATTTCTTTTTAAGGCACAGAAGCACAAGGACAAAAAACAAGGCATGTAGCAACACCACTAAAATTTTGGAAGCCTGAAAGTAGATGGATACTAGCAAAATTAACTTAAAAGTTCTAAGAAAGTAGAATCTTATGTCTCCAATGGGAAACCCAGTAAACCACTTGGCTCCTATCACAGAAGCACCAGAGCGCCTGGGGAATGGCTGTATCGTGTTCCCCTGGAAATGCTGAGCGAAGGTAGGCGCAAAGCAGGAGGATGGCTTGAAGGTGGTCTGAAGAAAGGTTAGATCCCCTGCGCACCTCGGCAGCATAACAGAGACTTGTGTTCTGGAACAGTTAAGCAGAGTCCTTCTGGACTGAAGGATCTCAGGAGGAGTTGAAAATGTGGGATATCACACTAAAAACAGGGATTGCTAATGTGGATCTTCTTTCCCTCTTCAATTCTTACAACACTGGTAATCATATTCAGCAGGCATATGCTTGGAGCATAGAAACAGGCTAAGATAATTACCTAAAATAAAATCAGAAATTTGTCCACTCAATACCCATCCTACTTATTCAAAAATGAAGTCTCCAGTCAGCAAGTCCCCTAAAACAAGCCAAAGTTCCAAAGAGATTTTAAGAGCCTCTCATTTAAATACAGCAACCAAGATGACCAAATGTATAGAAAGCAACCTAATATAAAAGTCAAAAGCCAAAATAAAAAAAAAAAAACTTGAAGAAATATGGTATGTAAAAAGAAAAACAATTAAATCACCAACACTCTGACACTCTCAGACTTAAGAAAAGATAATCCACTCATGAAACAAGAAGAGGATTCATTTAAATAAAAAGAACAGAAATATTTTTTGGTACCACGAATCGAACTCAGGACTTTGCACTTGTCAGGCAGGCATTGTGCCTCTGAGCTAAAGATAAGACAGTGATAAGACCAATCTGGAAGGTCCAACTCCTGAAGTACAAAAGTTCTAAGAAAAAAGGAGAAAACAGGAAGAAATTAAAGAAATAAAAATGTTCCCAAGCTGGCATATCAGACTAAAAGGGCTCTACTGAGTTTCCAGTAGAAGATGAAGACACAGCCAACCACAAGAAGAAACAAAAACAATGCTTTCAAAATCTTTATATAACTTTCCAATCTATGTTCTATATCTAGTTAAACATATTCGTACAGAATAAGAGTATTTTCAGGAATTCCATGTCTGAATGTTTTCATGTGGTAGCAACTTATACTCCCAACAGTAATGTATATTGATGTGTACTCGAATTGTTCTGCATCCTCTCAAAAATAGCAATTGACATGTGTTTGATCTTTTGACAAATCATATCTGCCAGCTAGTATTACAGAGAGTAGAATGAGACTATAAGCTTCCACCAAAACGAAGAGACAAGAACAAAGTAGTATATGATATTACCCTATTTAGGAGATTTAGAAAAAAAAGGATCCATCATAAGAAAAAGGCATAAGGAATACCTCAGACATTGATGGTGTCCCTTGTACCACTAACTTCCTAGTGAATGAGCTGAGTACCACCTCTGACCACCAGCTGCTGTGGCAATTATCATGCTGTCTGCTACGCACGTATCACGGGTGTGTAGTGAGCCCTTATGTAAGAAAGGCTGGGAAGCCCGACAGAGGCCCTCACAGACATTTATGTATAAAGACAAGCTAACAAAACATTTAGCGTATTTGAAAATTTCAAGGAGAGTCATAAAACCTGAAGAGAATTTAGGAATGAATGAATGAAGCAGAGAAATGTTTAAAAAGAGACAATATAAGAAGTGCTATGAAAAAGACAAATTTGTGATTAGTGCTTATGTAACCACAGTGCAACAAATATTGTTCTACCAAAAACTTAACAGACCTGTATTATAAGAACATAGGAACTGGCAAGGGGGACTGGCTGGAGAGGCTCTAGGGAAGAGAGACACTGCAAATGTGAGAGGGCTGGGGGAGAAGGAAAAGTTCTCACCTTTCACTGTGTAAATCAGCTAAACACTGCTCAAAACTACGAATCAAAACTCCAACAGCAACATAAGCATAATATTTGCAAAACTGGAAACAAATAATGAAAAATATCAGCTAAAAGAAATAAGACAATTTATTTCCAGGGAAAGACAAAGGTGTGGGAGGCTAGTATAACTAAGTCACCCAGCAGGGATCGGGGCCCTCACTCTGTAAACATCCTCAGCCTGTGCACAAGGAGGGCAGGAGATGCTGTGAGTGCTACACCCCATGAGAGAGGGCACCCCGCTTACGATACAAGGGAGGAAAAGAAACTTGCTCTCCCTGCCTTCGATGTCTTCTGCTGCCACGAATGGCTGTCCCTTAAGCATGCCACCCTGCTTTGGAGCCAGATGATTATGGACTGAAACTTTCAAGAACTGTGAGCTAAATAAACGTTTCATCCCTTAATGCTGGGGGTCAGGTATGTTGTCTCAAGGGCACTCCTTTTGTATTTTTTGGCTCTTGCTATTTTTTTCCTCATACAAGGATTTCTCCCCCAAACAGAAAACTACTACTTTTCAACTACTACCTTGGTTATGTATCTTGTAGCAATAAACTACATGGTTTTAAACTAACATTCCCTTTCATTTATTTTTTATTTTATTCACATTTGAGAAAGTATTCTCCTTATTCTAATATTCACTTGTCAAACTTTTCATAAGCCATCACCTCTTAAAGATAATAAATACAGAACATAAGAAAATTATTTATAAACAGGATTTAAAAAATGAAAGCCTGTTGTAAACATAAGAACACACTTTAGATTCTGAGAATCTGAAGTTTACTGATTTCTCACGCATCTGTGACAGATTATGATGCATTTATTTTGTACTAAGACCTGATAATCATGGCTCTTTATGTGCAATACTGAACAAAGACAAAAAGACTAAAAGTACACTTTCAATTTGTTTAGAGAGATACATATTAAAAGACTGGAGAAGAACATACAATGATAACATTTCTTGTGTTCAAGTGACAGAATTTACGTATCCTTTGAATTTCTTGAAAGTACCTCTAAGGGTGGCACATGGGATTTCTGACTCATAGCACATGGTTTTTAATCAACCCTGAAAGATACTTTATCCACTTCCTTAATAATCAAATTCATTGACACCACCCTAAAAATGATATTTAAAGTTGTCCAGTTTCTGAAATGTCATAGAAAAAAATCCATTTTTGGTCAAACTTACTAATTCTATGAGCTCCATACTATCTTTACGTAGAACTTTGATTTCCCAGATAACATTTGAGTGATGAGGAAAAACAGAACCCTTGTCATTCCACTTTAGGTGTAATGTAGAGGTTGAGAAATCAGCAGACAAATTCAAGATCTCTGGCGTGTCTGGAATTAGGGCTTAAGAAACGGAAACAAAAGAGAAAATTTAGTAAAACAGGTAATGATGCTTCATACTACACTTCCATTATCAACTATTTTAAAACTACTTTTTCTTGATCAAAATTAATCAAGAATTCACATCAAAGTCTCAAACCTGTTTCTAAAAAGCAAAGAACAAATTTATTATATTTTCTAATACAAACGGCAACTGGTTCCTGCAGCAATGCTCTACTGATACCTGGTCTGAGGCCTGCAATTAGGCAACAAAACAACTCCTTCCCACGGCAGCAGGTCAAACCTAAGAGACAAGGGAAGCTCACTCGGGGAAATGGTTCTGGGTGTTTTCTTAGAGACTTCTCATTCTTCTCTCAGGTCTGGCAACTCATGCATGCTCGGGATGCTACTCACTTCAGGAATTTTACGTGCTATCCCTGATGGCAGACATAATTAAACAGAAGAAAGAGTAGTGATAAGTAAGGCACTAGGTTAGGAAGCCAATGTGGTACTACTACGTGGAAATACAGAATACAAGGAAAACTTCCAAAGGGCTAGGTCAGTCAGTAGTGGTTTGCCAATCAGCCTGAAATGGACTGAGGCAGGAGATAAAGTGATCAGTTAAAGACTGCTGGAGAAATCCTGCCTAGAATCATGCGACAGAGTACAATGACAATCATGAAAAAAAGTAAAATTTGTTGAACAACAAATTTCAAGAAAATGATTAAGTCAGACAAATGAAGAATTCATGCTGAGAAATAATGACTTCTCCAAAGCTGCAGCTCAGAAAGCAGAAGGAAAGAAGATGGAAAGTGTGAATGAAGCACAAGACTGGCTGTGGATGACTAGGCATTCAAAAAGAAAGGCACAGAGTGCAGTGTTTTGAAGACAGCTGTGTGAGAACTGTCAGGAGTCAGAACCCGGGATGCAGATATGAGGAATTTGCTGTATGTAGAAGAAAGAAATGTAAACACAGACCCGAAATGTCCAATGCTTGTTATAGGAGCTGTCAATACACAATTATATCTTGAAGTACCCCACCCCACCCCTGCAACACACACATCAGCAAAATCTAGAGTAACAATCAAGAGGGGCCGGGGATTTAGTTCAGCAGCTTGACAAGTGCAAGGTCGCAAGTTCTCCAGGTATCAAAATTTAAAAAAAAAAAAAAAAAAAAAAAAAAGAATGATCAACAAACAGAAGGGAATCAGAGAAAATCTAAGGTCACTGAGCTAGAAACAAACAGGCTATCATTTGGGCTAAATACAGTAAGTCCCTGACTTACTAACATTTGAGTTGCAAACAGTATATTAGACTCACTCACTTTGAAGGCTTATGAACAAAATATGACTTACAAACAGTTCTCTGGGAATGAAATTCGTTTCTAAGTTAGAGACTTACTGTATAATAAAAATGACAGAGGAGGATCAAGAAAAGACCTCCTATAGGGTGAGAACACTGTATAATCAGGCATTTGCAAAAGAAGTTACAGGGTTGTGAACTCAGAAAGTAAATTACCAAAGAAGCAGAGAAAAACCATGCTCAAGAGTCTAGGCTTATTTAGGAAAAACCATTACACTAAAATGAGGTAAGCAAAAAAAGATGTACCCTTGAAACTCTCCTGATCTTCTCATCAGTTAAGAAACAGTAAATCACTGAAAATTCTAGATCAACAGAAAACAAGATGAGCATGCTCCGTTCTATGAAACACAGGCTCTCAGTTATGAGGGAAAGAGAAAGTTGGACTCTCCAGCATGCTTATTCTTCAAAGGAGAGTAAAGTGAAGTGAAGAGACGCCCCTTTCTTGCCTCACCTCTAGTTAATCCCGATGAAGTTCAAGAGCTAACTAAAGCCATGACAAACTACAGGAGTGTGCAGGGGCAGGGTAACTGCATGTGCTGAACAGCAGGGACAACAGAACAGCCGCTATAAATTAATCAGTCTCAAAGTGGGAACTGGAAACTGAGCTCTTAAAAATAATGCTACTAAATTTTTCTAAGGAACATGTTCTACCCTGGATTTACATAAAGTGCTCAGGGCTGTATAGGACCTAGCACACGTAGATTTAAACCTAACCGATACAACCAGGTCACACTTAGACTTACACAAAGGCAGCACAGGAAGCTTCACGGAAGTGTTAAATGACAAGCTGCTTGTCAAAAAAGAAACGTGTGACAAACGAGAAACAAGCAGCTGAGTTAATGCTAGGAGAGGGAAAAGTTCAGATGCTAGTGTAACCAGAAAAGTGCAAGAGGCTTCCAAGAGTGTGACTGCTCTTTCAAAGGATTCAAGATGTCACAATGTACTAACCTAAAAATTATGACACAGGAATATGTAACTGATGCAACACTGATCCATTAAAAGGCACCCCCAGTCCACATAATTTATACTCTACATTTTAGTAGAAAACAAGAGTCATGTTTAAATACAAAAAGACAGTAATACTCATGATGAAAAGTGAAAGAATTTTTTAAATCCTTTAAAAAGAAACTTTTTCTTCATAGCACACACGGCAGTTTCCCCTATAATCCCATGAATTATCATCTGTTTTTCCTATGGAATAACACAGACATCTGAGGACAATTTTAACTTACTTTCTAGAAACTCAAAAATTTTTTAGATCAGAAGGAATTTAATGAAAATCTTGTTTATTTTTTTTTAAAGCTAGGATAGCTTACTCATAACCTACATGCTGTTTCTTCTTTAGAACATCAGGAGATATGAGTCTTAACTTTTTTTTTGTATCTACATTATTTATGTGGCCTCAAAATGATTTAATTTTAAGGTTATTTTAAGGGATCGAGACAGCAAAATTTCACAAAGACTTTTTGTACACATGTGCACTTTCCCTTGTTAAGTACAAAATTGGGTCTGTGTGTGTGTACATGACCTTTTTGTTTCAGACCTGGAGCACACTTCATTTCTTACACTTGCACTTAGTAACAAATTATCCATGAGCCCACATCATCTGATGCACAGCTTTACGACCCTTTCAGAGTTTCGCCTGCATTCCACAGGTGTCAGAGATTTGCTGATTTACTGCTATGATCTGAATGTTTGTGTGTGTCCCCCTTCCTGCACCCATCTTAAACTCCCATGTTGAAACTTAACCCACACGGTGATGATATTATGAAGTACAAACTTGGAAGCAACTAGATCATGAGAGCTCTGTCTCCCCAAGAAGGGTTTGTGGCCTTAACAAGGACCAAAAAAGGTTCTTTTTGCTCCTTTGCGACCTGAAGGTACAATCTAAGAAGAGGCCATCACTAGTTACAAAGTCTGCCAGTGCCTTGTTCTTGTACTTCTCAGCCTCCAAGTCTATAAGGCACAGATTTCTGTTATTTATTCATTACCCAACCTAACATATTTTGTTATAGAAGCCCAAAAAGATCAAGAATATATTACCTCCCTCCCTTACATTTACCTAACCCGTTTTTAAATTTTCTTATCCCAATACCATTATTCAAATCATGACTGGGCCCACTATTATTTAAAATGCTACTAATACATTACATGACTATTTTTAAAAAATGAATTATGAGTTGAATGAGTCTGTCTCAATTTGCTTTTCTAGCTTTTTTAACACTGTCATCAGCAAGCAGTTTCCTAGTTGAGAACACTGCATACCTAGTGAAATATCAGATACCACCAACTGACTCTCTTACATACTCCTGGGCATTCTAAAAGCCTAGAATAAAATTCAGATTCCTCATACTTGAGTACAAAATAATTCCAGGTGGAAGAAACATTTAACTCAAAATTATAGCAAACCAAAAATTCACAAAGGAAAATAGCAAGATACCCGATTATATGACAATGAAAACATGTAGCATGAAAAATACTATGTTTTAAAAAATAATACACTCAGAAAAATATCTGCAGCCGATATGATAGCTAAAAAACACAATATAGGAAAAGCTCTTGTGAATGTAGAAAATAGCAAAAATTCAAGAAAGGTATGAATCGGCAGTTCAAAAAGAATATAACTGACATTTTTTAAAAATTATAACAAATGAAAAAGCAGCACTGATATAATCTGAGAGCCATTCAATTTAAATGGCAAAAATAAAAGAGATGGATACTACCTAGTCCTTGTAATGATATGTAAGGATAGGTGAAAAGAAGCGTATCAACATAGGGGAAGTATAAAATTTTGACCAACTTGGCAATTTGATACAAAAAGTTTTAAAAAGGGGTTGGGGGCCTTTAATCCAGCATTCCCAAGTCTAGGAATTTAACAAAATTAAATCAGTTAAATTCACAAAATGATGTTCATTAAAACACTGTTTATAATACTGACAAGTTGGCAATAAAAACAAATAGCTCCTTAAGTAATTATGCTCTATTAAGTAGAATACTACCCAGCAGTTAAGTGTAGCATATTTTCATGTAATAACCTAAAAATCCATCTATTACACATTATCTGTTAAGCAAGCTATAAAGTAATATGAACATTTATATTATTTTATGTGTATATGAATAGAAAAACCTACTTAAGGCTTAACAGCATGAGCACTGGGGTGATGGTTAATTTATATAGAATTTCTCACATGGACTTCAGAACTATAAAAATAAGTAACAAACATGGCCCACATCTATTATCCTGAAAGACAGTCCTAAACAGCACTTTACACAGGCAACACTTTAGGCTTAAAAAAAGAAAGGACAACATATTTACTATATTTAAACTCTGTGCTATCTCTGACACAGATCATTGCAAGTATATACCTACTGCATTAAATTGGGCAAACCACAAATCAGTAATTATATTTGTGTTCCATGGGTTCAGAGTCAATCAGCCCTACAAGATTCCTTATATATTACTGTGCTGCCATACCATCAGGACTGTCAGCAGCTGACAAACCCACTGCCCACCATTAGTAGTCAAAACTACTCAACAGTCTCACTGCACAGCAAAAATTTTATCTGGGTCTACATGAATTTATTTTGTGCTCCCAATCTGCTTGTAGCCTATCTCTTAAATATTCATTCAGTCAATAAATACGTAATACCTGCACAACAATGTGCTTAGTGCTTGTGCAGATAATAAAGTCCTTGCTCTTATGGAACCTAATTCCCGGTGGAGGAGACACAAGGTAAATATCTAACTACACAGTGGATTATTAATTTAACTGAAAGTAATGTCAGGAAGGAACATAGCTTACCTAAAAGTATACAAAGAAAGGAAGGGGATCATGTGCGGAGTGGTTAGAGACCACATCCCAGAGCAAAGGGCATTTGCAAAATCCTGAAGGAGGCACAAGAATCAAAAAGGTAAAGGGAGCCAAGGAAAGAGCCTGGAACCCAGAAAAGGGCCTTTCATTGTGGGTTGTGTTTGTGGTTGACTACATGACAAGTTTGCTTCCTTCTGGGTCCTGATCATGCTCTCCACTGCACAGCAAAGTAGTTAGGAGAATGAAAAGTATTAGCACAACAAGTGAAATGCAAACACAGGTTTTTCCTAACTACAAAGTATCACAAGACTAGCAATGTTCCATTTTAAAATCTGTCTTCTTTTCAAATACTTACAAACATTTTTTTCATTTAGTATGAATGTACTTATAGAACTTTCAAAATCATGTAGAGCATTTATTGTTATTTTGTGATCACCAGGTAAAAGAGCTGGGATTTTAATATTTGTTTTCTCTAACTGTTGACAAGAATGGGGCCTGCAATAAAAGAAACAGAATTTTAATTAGAAATAGAATTTTAATTTAATAAAAATCAATAGTCCTATTTTCAAAAAACTTGATCCACACAAAATACATGGAAAATATCTTACGTTCTTTTTATAAACAAAAACATGCAGGGTTGTATTGCATTTTAAATTGAAAAAAGAAAGGTTAACAGTAATTACACCTGTGTTGTTGGAAAAAAAGCTAACTTGTGGCAATGGCAAAAAGCACAATGAATAAGCAGAAACAATTCTTTCAAGAAATTTGGGGTTGTAGCACACCCAGAAATCCTCTCTTTACTTTCCCTGTGTGGTCTTGCCTCCCACCCATTCCACTTCCTCAACACCATGCAGGGGACTAGACCACTACACAGACCCTCGGATTAGTAGGAGTTCATTGGCAGCCAGTGAAAGGAATGAAACTAGCTGCAGCGGCCCTGTCAAAATTGCCTACAACCTGTTCACGCCTCTGCCCTAGTTCTAACAAAATTTATTTGTAAGTTCTGCTTTCAAAAGGCTCCTGGTTTCTTATTTAGTATCTCTTAGATGTCCCTGATCTGCAACCCTTTGTCTCTCCTGGGAGCACATTCACATTCTTATATTGTTATTCTAACATATCTAATTTCTCATGAAACTTTTAATTAATGCAAAAGTACCTTTCTTCTATGCAATGGACCCTGACCTAATACTGAGCACAAGCCTTTCCTCAGCACCCACTTTAGCAGGGACCTGACCCCCATCACCTCCTTCTTAACCTCATGTGTGCTACTGAGATCAAGGATATGATAATTCGACTGACTCATGGTGTGATGCAGGAGTAAGGCTGCCCCACCCTGGGTGACAATGCACCTGTCCTAATGGTGGGAAGCCTACATAGGAGATAAAGGACAGTAAGAGGGTCCCTGCTTGTCACGTGCTGCTTGGCTCCTTCACTATTTTGCTGTCTGCTGCCCACCATGAACTGTTTCTGCTCTGGGATACCCTTCTGTCATGCCACCCTGCCTTGGGGCCAGCCACTATAAACTGAAATCTCTATAAATTGTGAGCTAAAAAAGTTTGCCTCTTTTAACTGGATGTTGGATGTTTTGTCTCAGAAATGAGAAAGGTAACTAAGACACTTTTTCCTGTAGTGCAGGTATGATGATTGCTTGTCAAGCATCATCACCTTAAAAAGAGATCACAGAGTAAAGAGGGCAAGTACCGTGACAAAGAGACTCTGGGTCTCTGTGACAATAAAGCTATTAAAAAATATGCCAGCCCTGAACTGCCTACCACAGATTTTCATGAGAGCCAATGCCTATGTACTGAGATTTTCTATCAGGTACTTAAATCTGCTATAGATACACAGTGGTTTGAGAGACCAGTAAAACTGCCCATAGCAGTTCACAACTACACGTATGCTCCATACTCTTTGCATATAATGAAATAACAAAACTTTTGGCTGTGATAGGGTTTGTTTCTATCTTGATTGTGATAACACAGCTGTGAGTTAAAGTTTGATTTTAAAATTTCTATAATAAAATTGTGATATTCTAGGATGAAAGATAACTTCTAATCTGTAGGTATAAAGTAATCAAGTGTTTCCATTACCTGTCCTCAATGCAAACTTTATAAATGGTACCACGACCTGTTCCTAGGGGTGCTTTCCAAAAGCAGTCCCATACTTGTAAATTGTTAGTTGTGCACTTCAAATCACGTGGTGTCCCTGGTGAAGGAAAGACAACACATGAACACATATAACACAGAACATACTCAGTAATGGCTAAATGTTTTCATTTGTGAGCACAAGCACAGGGTCTGCAGAAGTCCATGGCCTCCAAGAAGAGATAACTCTGCTGTCATGGGAAAGCACTACTCTCGTGTTTCTTTTTATAGCTTTGCTTGTTTGTAAAAGCTAAAGGGTAAAAGACGAATGTAGGCCAACTGCAAGAGCCTCTGAAATCAGACTGGTCAAAAATTCAACTTCCAGGTAACTAAGAGAAATAAGGAAGAAACTGAATGTGAGATTAGAGGTGTGTATGTGGCGGGGGGGGGGGGGTCCAGCACACCATGAGCCCTAGGTGAAAGGGGGAAAATTAAAGTAAAATCTCCATAAAAACCATGTGCCCATGTCTACCAGCAAACCTAGTAAGTGTACCCAGCCGCTGCTGCTGTTTGCTACCAGACTGCCACCCTCTACAGGAACCCCCAAATCAGTCTCTGGACTGATGAGAAGCAGGTGACACTGAAGCAGTTATGGACTCACATGAGTCTTTGAAAACCATGAGGAGGTCATGAAACAACTGAAGAGTAACAGGTAACTTGGAAGACTATATAGCTGAATACTTCTTACATCTATCCAACAACATGACATTATGGACTACATGAGCACTGTAAAGTGAAAAGTTACCTTGTAAGAAAAATGAAAAGGCGGGCACAAATGAGAGAGGGGAAAGGACAGGGAAACTGCATGGTAAAATGCGTATTCTCAAACTTTACAAATGTCTATGCAAAGTTTTCTTTTTCTTACTTTTTTGGTTTACTTTTTTGGTCCTGGGAATTGAGTCCCTAACCACACTCTTGCTAAGCAAGCACTGTGCCCCTCAGCTAATATCCCCAACCTTCTTATTTTTACATGTAGTTGACATAATACTCACAATAAATTATAAAGCTATACAAATTTAGACAAGAGAGAAAATTTATACAAGAGAGAAAACATTTATGTTTTATAACATTTATAAATTTATACGAGAGAAAACAGAAGCATGTAAGTGCTCACATTAGAAATCAGCAGTAACCCTAATAATAAAGTTATTTATTCAATGATCAAAGAGATGTGTTCAACTATGGATATAACAGAAAAATAAAACTGAAGGGGCAGCAGAATAATAACGGTCTTCATATAAATAAGCTAGGCAACATCTCACTGATAAGCCAGGTCAACATTCTTATTATATTTAAAAAGATGATCTATTTTAATACACAATAAGAAATTATAAACTATTTTAGGAGTTCATTATGTTACACTGTAAAAAGGCAAAATTAGAGAAAACAGAGCAGTGTGGACTGTAGGGATGGGGGTGGGTGGCTGACATGAGGCATGTGGAGAATCTTTTGTGCCCTCTCTTGGTGGTGCTGGTGGTTATGACTATGTACTATGTCAAAATTCACAAACTTACACCATAGAAGAGTATTATCTTATGCAAATTACACCTCAATTTTTAATGATAAAAAATATTTTTGAACTATCTTATCTTTAAAGGTCTTTTTGAAAAAACTAAAACAAAAGAGACTGTAGAAAAATGGATTTTTGGTCACCAAAACCATGGAGGAAAAAAGACGACTTTTTTCCTACAGGAAAAATGGAAACAAAACTGAAATTTTGCTCACGTTCTGTAAGACTGATGTACTTACCCTTTTTCTGGCTGTTTACTTGATTCAGTAGATACAGAAGAACAAATGTTGCTAAGAGCCACCGGAAATTTGCAGGCAGCCTCATTTTCCCCCGGCCTACCATCCAGGATGACTGTCTCCAACATAAGCAACTATCCATCTTCCAGGCCATGCAGTCAGTCCTAGGATAGAAGAGGGATCGCAAATGATGCTCAGATTCACCTAAGGGCACCCCTATACTGCACACACAAACGCTGAAAATGTGATGGCAGATGCGGAAATGCACTGCACATTCATGATTGAGGAGACTCAAACACAAGCCACCCTGGCTTTAGGTGACATCAAAAACCGGCACAGCTGCTGCTGTGAGACCCACCATCAGGTTAATTGTCAAGTGACGGGCTTCAAGATAATATTACGACTGACTACGTATTTGTCAACTCTCTGCTCAAACACAGTTACACAGAACAACACAGTTCATACAATTAAAGTTTTGATGTTTTAAAATAATATGTAAACTGCTATTTTTAATCTTAATTATTTGTATCTCACATACATCAATTATTATGTGATCCCAGTACACTCTATGTCATTTACCCCTCTGTGCCTCAGCTTCCTCGTATGCAAAGTGAGGTTGGCAACTGTACTCATAAGTTTATTATGAGGATCAAGTGAATGCACATGTGGGAAGGACCTGGCATAGTGTCCAGTACATGCTAACAGCTACATGCTACTATGTGTACCATATGAGACACAAGGACAAGAAAGTAAGCAATGAGGACTACCAGATTTGTGGCTAAACAATGATGGACAGATGGATGGTGCCGTTTAAATCCTCCCTGGAGGATTTCAATGGAAGAAGAGGACAGTGAGATATGAGGGTGAAACTAAAAGATTGAAAGATCTAAGTACAGACCCTGACTTCGATGTGCTCCCACTCCCCACTTCCTACAGAACTGAAAGAAAAACTGCCCAAGCAAAACCAGTGCAGCTAACACAGACAAAGGAGCTTTTCACATTGGATATCTGAGGATTCCCCAGAGGAAAGAAACTGCTGTCCATCCGTCAGAGTGAAATCTGACAGCTGCCAAGTTCATCTAATGCACTCATTTCTAATCCAACTTCATACTGCTTTATTTTACACTGACACAGAAAACCAAAGATCATAAAGTATACAAGCAAAGCCTAAGATATTGAAGAGAAACTAAGGGTAAAATGGATTACAGAAAAGGAAATAAAAATCACTTGTGGAAAAAACAGAAAAAGTAGCAAACAGGAAAACTTAAAGAAAGAAGAAAACAAAAAGGCAAAAATCTCTAATTGTATCCTCAGACTAATCCAGTCCACTCTAAAATGAAGAGTATGCAATGAAAAAGGAATAACAATAAGCTCTTAGAAATTAACTATATTGACTGATATTAAACTTTAAAATAAATAAAACATTGAACCTTTAAGAACAAATAAAAATATAAAATGTGCAAAGACAAATGAGAAACCAATTTTAAAGAAGCAGTGAGATCTACTGTCTCAGTAACTCAAGCCTCAGGGAAGAATTTTTAAAATAAACTTCTTAGTGAAAGCAAAAGGATCATTTTCTTCTCGCCTACTGTAAAACGCTGTGAAAATTTCTGGAATTGAATCTCAAATAGCTTTATTATAAGCAAGACAAGGCAGAAGCACACATTTCAATTATGTTACTTTCTGGGTGAATAAACAACTTCCCAGTCAATGTTGGTATCCCAAGCCTACTTATTAGAAAGAAAATGTATTCATAGAGTGTCTTAAGTACCAGTTACTGAAGTCACAGAATCAGAGTGTGATTTAAGGGGAAAATCATGACCCTCAAAAGTCAAAACCTGATCAAAATAATCTCAAACTATCCTCCCTGAGGATATCATTATATTGAAATGAAACCAACCCTTACTATTGTTTTACAGTTAGCTGACGAAACTCTTGCACTATTGGAATGCCAAGAAAAAGTGGTAAGAGGGGGCAGGAGTAAGGCAGCAGAAGAAGAGCTCAGGACCAGGTACTGTCAGACTTAGACTTTAATCTTGGCTCCGTTACTACTTAGCAGCACGACTGAGGGTAAATCAGTTAATCCCTTTCTACTTGAGCCTTCATCACAGCAGCACAGGGCACACTCTATTCAAGATCCGCATGAGAACTTCCCAAGTTCAGCTCAGGGGCTGGGGATTTAGTTCAGTGGCATAAGCTGTAATGTTCCTCTGCTGTTGGCAGAAACAAGTATACAGGTAGTAGCAAGCCAGCACACACCTAGCTGCAGCAAAAGCCATCTTACAAGGACCCCCAGAGGTCAGTGAGCCCTTCAAGGGGTGTTCACATATTCAGGGAACCACTGCTCAATGATGAAGACTTTGTTAGGTCATAGCATCTACTTAAAATTTTTGATCAAGTAATATGGGCTATATATTATTATGCTAGCATCTGGCTTCCCTACCAAAACACACTCTCAAATGCACTCATCTGACAGCCTAAACAATACATGAACAGAACTTTTCAATGTATTTTAGGGGAAATAAGAATGCTTATAAAAAAACTTTGCTCGGGGCTGGGGATTTAGCTCAGCGGCATAAGCGCCTGCCTTGCAAGCAGGCAGTTGTGAGTTCGATCCCTGATACTGATAAAAAGGAAAAAGACAAAAAAAAAACCACTTTGCTCTCTTCTGACAGAAACGCTGTCAGAATTTACCAATGCCTTATAGGGGCAAATTCATACAGGTTTTCAGCAACTAACTTTCAAAATATGGATAGCTATCTTTCAGCAAAACAACTGTGTGCCAACACTATCCCCTAGAGGAGCAAAAGAAGCAAGCGGTTATCCAGGCGGTGCACATTGAAGCCCCACACAGACTCCTGTCAAATTTTCTGATTTTTCAAAATAAGGTAAAAATCTGAGATTTTTCTAGTACTTAAATTTGTAACTGTCAGTAACTAATTGGTATTTGTTAAGCATTCTAAAAGCCAGCAAAATATACAGGTTCAATCTGTACCCTGCCCAAAAGGCACTGAACTGTTACCTATACAAAATAATTTTAAAAGATTAAAAAATGTCAATGAACCCTTCGAAGAAAAGTGATTGAGCAGAATTAATTTATAAAATAATGAGATGGAAAGAAGAGAATCTTTTATGCTTTTTACAAACACAGTGACTTCAACCTTAGGGCCCCAGCAAAGCCCAGGCAGAGTATGAGCGTGGTCCCCAGGAACAGAGCTCCGCCCTGTCAACACCACGACCCCTGACCAAAGATTCCCCTCACTAGAAGCACACACGCTGTACTTTGGCACACTTTCCCCTAGCTATAAGACCTCTGGTTCCAGTACATGTGACATTTTGGACCTCTCTATTGAGGCTAATCAGAAAAAGAATGGGAAACATAAAGCTGAAGCCAGAAACTGTCATCTCCAATATATTTTGTTTGGTCTGTCTCTGCTTCTTGAGGGTGGGGTGGGGGGACAATTGGGTAAAGAGGAAGAAGGAAATGTGACAAGAAGAGTGTGTTGTGTCCTCACACCCTGCTGGCTGGAACCCGCCCTGAAGGGTCCTGGGTCTTGAGGGGTGCTGGGCACATGTGCTCAGTCAGGGTGACGGAATGACTATAGCCAAGCACATCTTTTATCTCCAGAATCTTATCTTTCACCACCACAATGAAACAATACCCTTATCATCAGTTTCCAAACTGTTCTTGAGAGAGAATCCTGTGACCTAGAAGCAGTGCTGGGAGTTACCCAATGGGGGCAGTCACATGAGGTTACCAGCATCCACTCGGCTCTCATGTCTTTTTTGTGTGTGTGGGCGTGGCCAGGGCATTTTTATTTTTATATAGTTTCTAAGTGATTCGGGTTTTTTTTTACTTTCTTTTTTTTATTTTAAAGAGGGTAAGATTAAACAGAACAAAACAGATCATAAGGAAACAATTTTAAGAAACACAGATTTCAAAGCAAATCCACTCGAGATCTTCACTGTCTATCATACTGTCTCTTGTTTTCTTCCAAATAGTTGTCCCTATCTTCACACACATTGAATACATACTGAACATTATAGAACTAATCTAATCAGAACAGGATGATGAAAGCTTTTTAGGTCTTCAAGACCTGACATTGGGAAAGTCAATAATGACTGCCATGTCTCTCATTCTCTTTGAAGTAGCTGTCCTTATCTTTATGTATGCTGAAATTAAACTTGAGAGTCTAGACTAACATCACGCTGAACAGTATTGCTAGATTTTATATCCTGATGCTACAGAATTAGCACTGGGTATCTTAGTATCTCTTCTTCTTCAGAGTATCTGTTCATTACATCGTGCATTATATAATCTGTTCCCCTAAACTGTTTAGAAATTCTCCACATGTATGAATCTCTACATGTGTATCTATCCTTTCTGTATTATAGGGAAAAACAGATCAAAACAAGACAACAAAACAAATTCATAGAAAAACATGAAACAGACATAAAACCACAATATTAGGTGATCTACAGTAGTTACTATGCTTTCTCTTGTTATTTTTCAATAGAATTGTCCACATCACTAGACATAATGTAATTGAACACAGCATTACATACTGCTCTCATGTCTTACTTCCCCTATCTTTCTCATTCCTATAGTAACCATAAGAAAGTCTTTAAAAACTTTGACCAGCATTTCAGCCCACATCTCTTCCACTAGATCTTAACCTCTCCAGGTATTTGCTCCCTTGGAGGAAGGATCTTCTGGAATTTAAACCTCACTGGTGACCTGACTCTACTGTGTGATTATGGAGAAGTACATGGAACTCAAGCACAATGAGAAAAACACCCACCACAAACACCAACTTGACTGCACTGGAATATTCTATCTGGGAAGGAAGGCTAAGACCAGAATGTAGGAGATGTTCTCAGCTTTTACGAAGAAGAAAGCTTGCAGAAGGTGCGTAAACTACTGGGAATATTTTTAAAAAGGAGACAAACAAAAATTGCATCGAAAAAGCTCCTTGAATCTTCTGGAGAGGGAAGTCATATATGAAGGCCCAGGAGTAAGACCATCATCGAACAGTTCACTGAACCAGCACTCCATGACTTGCCACATGAGTGCAGGCAAACCCTCATTCTGACACAGGTCCAGAGACAGCACCATCTCCACAGTGGGTGCTGGGGTCAATATTCTTTGGGAGGTGGGTGTGCA